CCCCTGATTGGGACGGTGCTTGTGGAAGTCAACTTCCTTTACGGTGCTGGTGTAATGGTAGCTTGCTATGGCGTTGCTTTGGTTATTTTGTGTGGTGCTACCCAGGTTGGTGGTCAGCCTTTCCTGTCACATGCTGCCATCATCTTTCGAGATGTTTACCATGAGGGCAAACCGTGTGACATTTTCTCAGGCGACGACTTGTTTCGTCATTTACACGTCTTTGGAGAGGCTACCGTGTGGTGGTCTTCTTTCTTCGTTGGTTTTTTCCTAAAGGTGGGGGAGGGCCCGGGTCATGTTGATCACGCCCGCAACAACATCAACATCATCATCACTTCTTGGGTGATTGCTAGTGCCCGCCCTTTTTGGAATTCACATGCATCCACTTCAGGACAAGAACGCAAAACAAGTCGTGCTTGCTTTCACAAGGGGGATTCGCGAACCTCCGTCCAAGAACGACTAGGGTGATTGATTAGCGGAAAACAAATTTGATCGTGTACGTGAGTTTTACATTGAAGCAAACATATTAAGCGGAGGCCGGGGCGAACATAATGGAGTAAGATGCACACCATTGGGCTGCAACTTGCACGGGAACAAAAATGAATGGCGCCGCATCCTTCAAGATTCGTACCAGGTTCGTAATATAGCCCTGCACATATGTAAGGTCAAGTGCCGAATAGACGTGTCCTCTGGGCTCTATAGAAGCTTCAGCTGGTTACGCCAAATGTTAAACATCCCGAACCCAGACCCCTGGGAGGCCATCTTTCTGAGATTATGGGCTCTGAGCGTGAAAAATCTGGCGAGCCACGGTTGAGACAATTAGTCAGGGACTTGTGCCAGGATTTTGGCCTTGTCATGGAGAACCCACCAGGTGTCCCAACGCATCGTTGCGGTTCCGTCATTGATGTGGTACTCGCTTCGCAGGATCTTGCTTTCTACTGTCCGCAACCTTATTGAACCTTATTGTGCACGATGCGGGTGTCCGTCGGACTCTTGTTACCCACTTCTTGGCAGCGATCACAAGCTCATTACGTTCCAGATTGTGCTGCCCCTCTCTGCCCTAGACGCTGCGTCCCCAGCTTGGCCAGGGGTCCGTGATTGGCGGCCAGTGGTGCGTGCTTTGCGCCCCCGGCTAACAGATTGGTCGACTAAAGTGTCAGATTTCTGCCGTGATGGCTCCCATTACTTTGTTGACACGCATCGCGCAATCCTCGATGTGTTGCACGCGGAATTCGTACACATGTGCTGGGATACGGCCAACCAAGTCGACTCCAGCCGATGTCGTAACCGGCGGCCTCAACTTGACTGGTGGGATGATGAATGTTTCGATGCCATGGTATCGCGTGAGTACTTTCGTGCCCTGCGCCTCCAGTTCCATCACTTCGTTCGGCGTAAAAAAAAACCACGTTTTGGCATGGTTGGTTAGCATCGCAGGAGCGCAACGCTGCAAACCCGCGCCTTACGGCTAGGAACATCCGCCAACAACTTGGCCCAGTTGCCGCAACGTGCCCATAAGCATGAGATCCCATCTCTCACATTGTGGCACGCTTTAAGGCCGCGGCTTCAGAGATGTTCCTTCGTCTGTAATGCCTGCCCCTTCTAATTACCCAAACTTGTGTGATGACGTCCACCGCCTACGTCGCACCATGTGTACCACCACTAGTAGCCTGGACCTTCCTTTTTGCCGAACCTGAGCTTCAGCGCGTGCTGCAACAGTTGCCTGCCAACCGCGTTCCTGGCCCGGATGGTCTCACGTATGAACTTTTCCGAGTGGACGATGATGCCCTGCGCTTTGTGCTCCTGGCCCGTTTCGAGTTTGTCCGTTACTGGGCTGTTGTGCCATCCAGCTGGCGTTCCGCCACTGCGACGCCTTTTTGCACAAATCTGGCGCAGCAGATGAATTCACCAACTATCGGCCCATCAGTTTGCTTTCCTGTGCCTTGAAGGTTTTTGCGAGGGTGCTCCTCAAGCTCTTACATCCGCGTTATCGGGCCCCACAGTACTCCAGACAAGGTGCGCAAGATCTGGGGACATCCAGGACTTATACTACCTCTGCACGACTGCTGGGTGACGATGACGTGAGGTACCTAACGGTCCAAGTGCGCAAATCAAGAAGCGGTCCTCCCTTGTGTATTGAGGGAGATCCGGTCCAGCTTCTGAATAGAACCAGGACGGCTGGAGCCTGCCCTGGCCCAGCACGGAATTACGCAACAACCTCGCCAAAACCAAGCATGCACAAGTGCCGAAATACTGACAAACAGAATTGCGCAATGCCCCCGCCACGCACAGAATCGCGCAACACCCAGGTCACACACAGAACTGCATTACTCCTTCCATTGACAGAATTGCGCACCACCCCAGCGACACAGAAACTGGAATGTCCGGCAGATGTGCGATAACTCGCGCCTGCTGATGTCAGCCCACTTGCAGTGTCTAGAAGCTAGCCACGCTTGCAATGCAGCACGGAAGCACGGAGGCACACACATTTGGCCAAGGATCAATCAACACTCTCAAAGTGTACATTTGGTTGCAGTTATTTCTGCTGAGTCGTTTCTGCCGAATCGCTTCGGCGGTGCCAACACGTGCCATAGAGCGCATCTGACTTGGATTCCCTGCCTGCGCCTAGCAGAAGGCTACGTTTTGGTTTTGCACACATCTGTTTGGCTGCAAGTTGCCAAGTTCTGTCTTCAGCGGATCCTCCCGGTTGCGTATTTCTGTGCTTGGCGGCGGCGGCGGCGGTTTTACTTAATTTTGGCTGGCCCGCGATCGTGGCGTAATTATTGCTAGGCTGCCGTCGTTGCGTGATTCTGTCCTGGGCCGGGGTGTTACCCAGCTGTGTGTGTGGCAGTTTTATTGCGCAATGTTGGTTCGACAGGGTGTTGTTGGATGCACATTTGTGCGATACGACTGCCAACCGCAAGCGGCCCGTCAGAAAAACAGGTGGGATCTGACTAAAGTTGTGCCAATTTATAGCGTCTGGAGTTCCTCTGCGTGAAAACGAGCAGTCCTGTTAAGGGGTTATTCCAGAACAATCACGAAATCAACCGTCACACCATTTGGCAGGATGCACATTTGTGGGAGGTGGGGTTAAAAAGAAAACAAGCAAACATCAACAGCAAATCAAGTAAGGATCAACTAGAAACAAATAATGAAGAAAGAAGGACATTTTTTCTTGCGCGCCATTTTGCAACCAGTCTGTAGCGGTCCCAGTGCTTCCGTGCGCAGGGGGATGCTAGCGCCATTGTATTACAACACAAAATTTGTGGCCCCTCGAGGAGCAACCGTCGTGACATCCTGGTTTCTTGGTTTTCCGGCTTCTTTGCTTCTTGGCTTTTGGTCCCCGGGGTGCCTCGCTTTTTGGCTTCTCGGCTTCTGGGCTTCTCGCCTTCCTGGCTTCCTGGCTTCTTGGATTTCTGGCTTCCTTGCTTGCTGGGTTCTTAGCTTTTTGGGTTCCTGGATGTCTGCTTCTTAGCTATTATTGTCGTCCGTCATGTTCTTCGTGGTATTGCCACCACAGCATTCACATCATTCCCAGAGTTCGAAGTAGCAGTCGTATTTTGAATTTTAATTTCAATCTTATTGACGCCATTCTTGAAGCCATTGTTAAGATTAGGCTGGGATAGTCCCACGTTACCGTTATGGCTCTTAAAAGATTCGATCAGGAGACGATTACGTAAAAGGACTGAAGGGAACTTCATCTCCACATGACAGAAGATTCAGGGTTCAGGGTGTCAGGATATCACCTTTGCATATGTAAACGTGTTCATCGAATCGGGGCTCGCAACCATCTGGCAGGTGTGTCCTCGACCCTGCAAAGCACGCTGAAGCAGTTATGAAAGCCCCAAACCTATGTCATCAAATCCCACCGCCTTTGTTGGAGCCATGCTTCCGACATCAGACACATGTCATCACCATGTTTGCACTATGGGAAGGCTATGTGGATTCATTTTGTTTGCAAATGGGGGGGGGCTGATCGACGCTTCCAATTGCCTCATTTTTCATCATTTTCATTGTTTTCCTTTCCTTCGTATTTTTCCTCAACTGACGCTTTTGCATCATATTCACTAGTCCGCAGTTTTTCTTGGTGATGTCTCGTCAATCTTCATCATCATTCATCAACTGTCATCACGTTTCATCATCCTTCGTCCATTTCCATCACTTTTCATGTTTTTTCGTCATGTGTCCTCATGTCTCACCAGTTTTGTCGTTTTTCCTATCCCTTCCTTATTTTCAGCATTTCTATTCATCATTTCTTGATCAGTTTTCAAACTTTTTGGTCATTTTTCCATCATTTACAATCATATTCCATCATTGGTTGATCATTTTTCATATTTGCCATCACCTTACATAATTTTCGTGATTTTCAATCATTTTCAATCCTTTTCAATCCTTTTCAATCCTTTTCAATCCTTTTGAATCATTTTCATAAATTTCATAATAATTTCCATAATCTTTCCATCACCTACCATCACCTTCATCATGTGTTCACCATGTTTCATCATTGTCCATAAGTAGCATTTATTGTTTGAATTTTCCATCATTTTTGCTAATTTTCATCATTTTCAAGAGTCTTCGCGAGTTTTCAAGAACTTTTTGTTTTTGTTGATGCTATTTTTTTTGGATCCTCGGATCCTGTTTTTATTGATCCCTTTTTTTCCATTTTCCAGATTCCCATGATTTTTCCTGAGTTGTGCATCACTTTTTGTTGTTTACTTGATCCCAGGATTCGACTCCATGCTACCAGTTCTAAGATTTTTTCTACGGTTTTGTTTGTTTTTGATACCTTTTTTTGGATCCTCAGAATTTGTTTTTTGATCCTTGTTTGATTTTTTGATCCTCCAGCCACCGTGTGCGCTTTTCAAATGCTGCATTGTCTACAGCATGGTTGGCGTGGAACACGGGGCATGTGACAACCGCAGCTCTCATTCAAGGATTTTGTTGCCGGAATGGATTGAAAAACTTATCGGTGTTACAAACAATTCCCATGCAGCAGCGGCGATCAGATGGAGTCGTGGGCCGGACACTTGACTGCAGATCTGTCGGCAGCCTTGGCCGTGGATTTGGTGGAAGAGCGGTCTACAACCAATGAGCTGCACATTTGCGTGCGGCCTGCGGAGTCCCAGCGGGCTACGCTACCAAATTTGGATGAAGTTCGAGGCTGGGTGTGATGTTGGCAAAACTGCATGTGCGAGAAACGAGTAATGTGACATAATTTGGCTATGTTGAAACGGGGGGAGGCACACATGGCTGCTAGCTTGCATGCAGGACCTCAAGATGGTGTTGCATGGGATTGGTTTCAACGAGCGGCTTTTGCTTGCACAGATAGCTGGGAAAGCGTTCTCGTTGCTGCCCCAACATCAGCTGGGAAGACGGCTGTGGCTCGAAATATGATTAGGAATTGCATTGTGCAAGGCAAAAAGTGTGTGTATACTGCCCCTGTCAAAGCACTGTCAAACGAGAAGTTCAGGGACTTCGTGAGCGAGTTCGGAGCAGAAAAGGTTGCACTACTGACAGGCGATGCGCAAGCTGGCAACATGGATCTCGCGCAGATAGTTGTGATGACGACCGAAGTCCTGGTAAGCCTCCTGCACAATGACAGCCTTTCAGGGAACTGCTTGCAGTGCCCCACAAGTCAGGGCCAAGCTTCTGATCAAAACATGATGGAACCGCGCCGGCAGTTGATGCATAATTTGTCGTATGCGATTTTCGATGAAGTACATTACATTGCGGACGAGGAGCGAGGAACAGCATGGGAAGAAGCCATTGTTTTGCTGGAGCGCCATATTCCTCTTGTTTGCCTTTCTGCAACCATACCAAACTTTGTGGATTTGGTCGGTTGGATGGCCCAAACGAGGCATGCCCCATGCCATGCAATTTTTACGCGATGGAGACCAGTTCCTTTGGTGCATGGGGTCATTGCTTGCCCACCTGCGCACAACACAGAGATAATCTCTGACAAGCTTGGGAAGTTCAAAAAACGCAAGTATGAGGCAGGCCGATTGATTGGTGAAGCTCGCGGTTGTTGTATGAAAGCCAGTTGTTGACAGCAGATTGCCCTGCAAGGATGCAGTGACGAATCTTCCAACACCTCCGCAAAGGCCGCCGCAAGATTTAGATCGAGGTCAAGACTTGGTCTCCATTTTGCATGCCCTTTGCCAGCTCTAAGGGTTTGTGGCTGGTGTATGTATGCAGCATTTTGCAAGTCTAAGGTATGTCGGCAGCTTGGCTGAAACTTAATAGAAAGGACGACTACACCTTGCACTCCTGCGGCGATCCATGCGCGACATCAAATTAGGTCAACCAAGCAGATGCCGCTCATCATTTTTTCGTTTTCGCGCCGAGAAGCTGCAGAAATGGCGAGGAAGTTGGCACCATCAGTGAGACTGAAAGACGCCGTTTCAAGGCTGCGAACCTAAAACCTAATTGCAGTGCAATAAACCAGTGGTTCCATCCCTTCTCTGCATGAGGATGGTGTGTGCCCAAGTCAAAGAAGTTGTGCAAAAGCAGCTCGCAGAACAAGATCGCACCTTGCGCTCGATTCGGGAATGCGAATTTTTGTTGAGCAGGCTCGACAGCATTGACACTGTCTGCGTTTCATAGCCGGCATACCTCAGCAGACACTTGGTGATGTTGTTGATGCCAGGGGCGTAGGCATTCACCATGGCGGCATGTTGCCTGTGCTGCGAGAGCTGACTGAGAAGTTGTTCAAGGAGCGGTTGTCATGTCTTGCGTATGGCTGTGTCCTGTTCTGTGGCATGTTGTCTGCATCCTGGTGCTGCTCAGTGAGGACGGCTTTGTCCGTGTCCTTTGTACGACTGAAACGTTTGCGGTGGGAGTGAACATGCCTAGCCGAGCTGTTATTTTCAATTGGCCCCGAGCATGTGAGTTCAAAAAGTTCGATGGTCACGAGCAGCGCCCAATTCGTTGTGGTGAGTACATGCAGATGGCTGGGCGGGCTGGTCGTCGAGGACAAGATTCCCAAGGAAACGTGCCTAGTTCTGCATGGAGAAAATTTCGGGCCTTTTTCTGATACTGCTCCAGCTGTCTGAGCCGTATTCCGTAGCGTGTCGCTTGGATGACTCAGGCGTGGAGCATGATGACACAGAAGGTAGAGTCACCCTTTATACAGCGATTGGTATCTGGGAGAGCTGAGCCCGTTGAAAGCAGATTCAAATTGAGTTTTTCCTTGATTCTTCGCTGCCTGCGGTCTGGGGGAGGTGTCCTGACGCTGCTGTTGATGCAGAGTTTCAAGCAATTTGAAACTGGAAAGTCTGATGAGCTTGTCTTCCAGAGAGAGCTGGACACAAAGCTTGCAGTGCTGGACCGACAGGGATACCTCGAGGAGGGCTTGCGCTTGACGCTGCTGGGGCGTGCCTGCGCAAACATCCAGGTTCCCGTGCCGGCTCTTCTGAGCTTCAGGACGCACATGATTTATCATCGCTTTGGGTTTTCATGAATTTCATGCAGGGCATCAATGAGGTATCAATCCGCACGCTCCCGTTGTAGAGAAAGGGGAAAAGAAAGGACCACGGACAGTAGTTAGGTCTTGCAAGCCGCCGGAGATCCTTAGTGACGTGAAGCGTGTAGGCAAGCACGTTGACCCATCTTTTTGCCGGATTTGCTGAACGTTCAGTGGAATTTCCTGGATCGTTTGGCACCAGGTCACTCTGCAGAGGGCTCCTCATTTAGGCTGGCATTCTTTTTTTGCTTTCCTGCCAGTATTTTTGTTTAATGTTTCGTTTGCCAGGATTTTGCAGATCGAAGTGAGAAGCAAGCGAATCAATTGGTAGCATTTTTGACTTGCTTCGTGAACGACCTGGAGGAAGACGACGAGGTTGCCAGTTGCCTCAACTTTGATCACATATGTCACAGAACAGAAATCTGGAAGAATGTAATACGGTAGGGCGTGGAGAAGGGTGGGCTCACGCTTCCATAATTTGAGCGCATGCAAGTGAAGCAGAGTGTATGAACGAAGCACATAAGGTGACAGCGTAAGGTGTTGCCACAACACACTGTTGTCATGACACCCCTTCAGTGTGTGCTTGTGTCAGCTAGCGGTGTGGGTCTGCACGATGACTGCTTTGCAGTAGTCATCTGATGCAGTTGAGGCAGTCAAGCCTGAAAAGCCGTGTCAGCAGGTTGTGACTGGTCAAGACTTCGAGCCCTACTGGGCCTGGTGTGAGAATACTTCTCGGGATGTTTTCAGCGATTTGATGGCCTGTCGCCTGGCATGTTAAACATCAGTCTGCGGCTGTTCCTGCTTGTGATGTACTCTCAGGCAAGATGCTACATTCTCCGCCACAAGTGGAGATCAAGCAGCTTCGTAAGCGGGCTGGCTTTGTCGAGCCAGTGTTGCGTTGGATGAAGGGTGAAGACTTTGAACAGTGCAGTGAGGCTGCAGGTGGATCCGAGTATGATGGCATTCTTGCGCGTGTCTTGAGGAGAACGCATTTGCTGCTCAAACAACTTGAGGTTGCCCTGAACTTGCTGCAAGAGCCAGAGGGTGATACTTCATCTGAGTTTGCCCAAATCCTGCGGGATGCAAGGCACCGCTTACACCGTGGTGGGTCTGCTCATCGCTCCCTCCCTTTTCTTGAGTCCATCTTCTTGCCTTTATCCTTCGAGCCGGATACTTTGGAACCAGGCAGTATGCGCAAGTCGCAGGCTGCATGCCCATACGAGGCAGGTGCAGAAGTCGAAATTTCACCGAATGAAATCGGATTCTCCCACTTTTCCATCTCTGCTCATTTTAAAGACGGGCAAAGCATCGCTTCGACTCTGAAACAGCTTCTTGATGGAAAGCCCAAAAGCGAGATCCCGATTGTGGAGGTATACTGGACAGAAGGACAGTTCTGGACCCTTGCCAATCGGCGTTTGGCAGTTTTCCGACTTTTTCAACAGAAACGGCCAGAAGAAGGTGCACTGATCAAAGTCAGAGTCGCAACTGAGAGGAGCGCACAGGCATGGGGGTTCTGGAAACGTTGGACAACAGGACAGGAGTTTCTAAAAGCGGGCAACCTTGCCGAAAGGATGCTTCTTTCGGTTTTATACATATTCACTCTTCCCTCAGAATCTTACAGAGCAATCATTTCCGGCATTGAGCTCAGACTATGACAATAACGTTGACACCAGGATTGTGGAGGGGGCGGAGGGCCCAGATCCGCACAACGTCCGAGATGATTGGCCGCACTGCGGGCGAAACATATTTTCATTCCCTGGATGCAGACCCAGAATATGTTCAGGACCCATCTTCAGAGATCAAAAGCACCCGGTCGTGGACTAGGTAGTAAGGGCGCCTAGAACACATCTTTTTTGTTTTTGTTTTCTGGAGGCTGCCATGTTTTCATGTTACAGCAAACTTCCAGGAACAGACCGGCTTCGAAAGGGCGTCGCGGCCAGAGAACATGGTAAAGGCGCTTGAGGAGATCCGGCACTTCCACCAGGATCAAGGCGATTCTGTGGACGATGTTGGCGGGGAAACCTTAGAAATTACGGAAGAAGCAGACAGCGAGGAGCTCGAGATGGAGGACAACTGCACAGTACTCTCGGCATCGCACGTTTGCAGATTCCTCATAACGCGGCAATTGGATTGCCTGGATGGGCCACAAGCATGGTGGAGGTGTGAACCTGTTAAAGCTGAGGGTGCTGGAAAACAGGTCTTTGCGTAGTGGACCAGCCTAGTGGTAGTGCGACCATGACAGCCTGTCTGCCTGTCTCAGGTACGCTTTGTCCGAGACGGTGACTGCCAGGGAATTGATCCGATCTCCGTTGTCCTATGATCTCTCCGCGGACATGCCAATTCCAGAAAGCTTCTGCAACATCTACGAGTACCTGACACTTGCTCTGGGACTGGCAAAGGATTGTAATGTTGTGAGGTGTAGTTGCTGGATTTTGTGTCTAGTGCGACTTTTTTTTGACCCTTCAAACTCTACCAACCTCATTTTGGATCTGTGAGTCCGAGGCGAAGCTTTGCCTTGCCAATGTTGGAGGCCGTTCTTGATGCTTGCACCTTCCTCTTGCTCTCAGGGTGCCTCCCTTAGGGCTCTGTTGGGAACTGGAGTTGAAGAGAACGCGGTGGCACTAAAAGCTTTTTCGGTTAGGACGGCCTAAGAGGTCGTGCTATTAGGCCTTCATCCATGTGAGACACCATCATGCCCCATGACGTGGTAAGCTATGATTAGTGCCGAAAAAAGCGAACCAGCTAGTCTGTAGTAGTTTCTCTTGCAGCTCGCCATGCTTCAATTTTGTCTGGCCTTTGGATTACCAGAGACTGCCTGTCAGTCTGCCGTCTTCTTTAAAATGCCGTGTCACAGGAGCTGCGTCAAGACCTAAAGGCTCCTCTGGATGCCCTTCAGCTGGACTTGGATGTGGCAGAGGAGGTCCGTCTCATTCCAATGGAGGCAAGGTTTTGCAAAGATTAGACGAAAGAGTACCGTAGAGTCTCCACGTTTGCATCCTCATGACCCCACTTGACTATGTTTGCTCTGAGAGGTCGCCAAGGAGACCATGAAGGGTGAAGGCATCCCTGCAATACCACCATGGTTTCCCGCAACTTGCTCGCACCAGGATGCGCAGCTGCATCGCTTCTACCTGAGATTTTTGAATCAGCTTCAGGTGTCGGAATGTGAAGAGGTTATGCTGGTGCTGGCAGGAAGGGACCGGGCGAAGTGTGCCCAATGCGCCCCAGGCCAAATGTGCCTTCTCTTCGAGGCGCTTGGCACTTGCATGTTGCAATGTCAGACACCTTGAGCTTGGAGAAGCCAGGAGGGTTCAGTTACGAAGCCCTTCGCTCTGCCTGGCATGGCCGATGAGGAAATGCGTGAGGTTTTGCCCTTGAAAGTCAATCCTGGAGGCCTCGGCTCATGTTATGCAGGCATTGAAGTTGGTTGTTTCAGCCATTTGCTGGCTGAGAGGCTGTCACAGACTCGGCCTCCTGCACACCACGCCAAAGAGCAAGCACGCTGTGGTTTTGATATCGCAAGAGAAGAGCCTCCCACGCTGTGATGCCAATGAAGTATCGGAGGTTCTGTACCCCAGCTGCGAAGAAGCCAGGGCAGACATCAAGCTAACAGAGAGTCCAATCTCAGAAGGCGCCTGGCAGGTCGGTGAAGTTTAGGTTGGCGGACAGGCCTGGCGGGCTGGTATCACATCTGGGAGCCAAGTGAGAGAAGTTGAAGGCTGGGATGACGAAGGGACACCGGTGCGCCTTCTTGTTGAAGGCAAGCCACGCCAGTGGAAGTTGGCTCTGCTCGGCTGTAATGCACTGACGTCCATCCGAATTGGAGCTGCGCTGGCCAATGCAGCTGGTCACCATCCCATCTTCTGGCAAAAAGAAATTTCCGGCAGGGAAGATTGCGATGTCAGCACGTTTGGTGGTACGTTCGAAGGCCAGTGTGCCTCAATGCAATCCGGCTTGACTGTGGCAGAACTCCAGGAGAAAGGATTAAATGTATCCCAAGCTTCTGCTGTCCATAAGCTGGTCGAGTGCCGTTATGGCGTTCGTCTTGTTCAAGGCCCTCCAGGCCTGCATTTCTGCTTGTCGTGGGCGAAGTTGTGTAAGTTACGCGCAGCCTTGCTTCACGATTGATTGGGCCTGCCTGCAGGTACAGGAAAGACACACACCTTGGCCGTTCTTTTGGAGCAGTGCGCGGAACTTGCACTGGCAGGCATGGAAGAAAACGCAGATGCCGAGCAGCTTGTTTGCAGAACAGTTGGCAGATGTTGGCAGTCCACAGCCACAACCTTACCAACCTGGGACCTGCCAAGGATAGGACTGTTGATCTGAAACCTTTCTCTGCGCTGCAGGCAGCAGGTTACGAAGAGCAAATGGAGGAAGCGGTTTCAGAACCACAGCAAGCCAAACGAGCCGAAGCCACCAGATATTGCAGCGCGGAGGCGCGCAGCCAACCGCTGCCTGGTGTGTGCTCCAACGAACATTGCTGTTCAAGAGGTCCTGCGGCGTTTGCTGGATCGATTGGACCCTGAGCGCTGGTGTCAGGTGGTCTTGGTGGCGACAGAAGACCGAGCCAACATCTCTTTGTCCGATGAGCCCGCTGCCGATGACAAACGGCTTTCAGCAGTCCTTTTGGATCACAAGAAAAAGCGCGTAAAACGCATCGCTCGCTTCTGGCTGGGCGAAGGCTTCGAGAGGCCCAAGCCACATCTCCGCCAACCCGATTGGGTCTTTGAAGCTGGCAACTCTTGCCTTGCACTGCTCTTAACTGATCCTGCAAGGGCGTATGCACGCGCATCTTTACCAGTCAAGGGCAGAGGCAAAGCGAAGAAAGGCAAGGAGCGGATAGAAGCTGCGCATCTTCTACATTTCGTGCGACGAAAGTTGACGGAGATCCAGGTGATTGCCCGAGACCAGCAAGACAAGCTGAAGCGGGAGGTTGCTTTCGCCACGAAGGCGTTCGTCCCTTTCTCCTGTTCCAGGAAGGAGAAGCGAAGAATTGAGGGTGAAGCGCAGGTCTTCTGCGAGCTGGTTACTTTGCGCGAGCAGTTGGAAGCATTTGGTCAGAAGATGTCAGATCTCCTGGAGGCATGGGAGCCGGAGGCTTGGGCGTTGGATCAGTCTGTGGATCTCAATTTCAGGAGTCCTGAAAGCGCATCGGCAGAAAGGGCAGCGAATGCCACCAGCCATCCAAACATGTTGCAGGACAGGAAGCGCGCATACAGCTTCGTAGAGTGGGTCGTTCAAGGCAAGGCCGAAGCCAAGGAGAAAGCATTGGAGGGACTGATCGAGCTCATCGGCTTAGACTCGGCCCCAAATGCCACAAGCTCTGAAGAAGAGCTTGCGGCTGCCGAGAAACGGTTGATACTTCTACTTCATCCAGACAAGGCGCCCCCCGACATGCAGCTGATTGCAACCTGTGCTTTCCAGGACCGCGAGCTGGCCATGGCTGAGGTACGAAAGTCATTGCGCTGTCCCAATTCCTCTTCGGGACAGACGCAGCCAGCAAAGCCGTCAGGGGCGGCAGAACGGCTTGAGATTCTCGTGGACGTGAACCTTCGCTCCTGGCTCTCCGGGAATACCCAGGATGCCCTGGATGCAATGTTGGCAGCCCATGTTGAGCTGCTGAAAGCTTGCACGGCAGTGCGCACGGCATCCTCCTCCTTTCTGAAAGGAGCACTGTTGAGGCGTGGGGCCCTGGTCTTCTGTACACTTACCGTAGCGGGGCGGAGCTCCATTTGCGGGCAGCAGATCCCAACAGTCCTCATCGATGAAGCGTGCCAAGCCTGCGAAGCAGAGACACTTCTGGCACTTCGCAGTTGGGTGCAGCGACTTTTCTTAGTGGGTGATCCGCGCCAGCTCCCGGCAACTATTGCTTCACCCGTGGCAAAGCGCGCAGGCTATGCACGTTCAATGCTGCCTTGAAGCATTTTCAGGCATAGGTGGCTCACGGCTCGGTGCCTGCTACAGTTCACCTGCGTGCTGCCAAGGTTCGAGCGCTTGGAACAGTTCGGCACAAGAGCAGACCTCTTGGAGGAGCAGTACCGCATGGATCCTCCGATCATGTGCTGGTCCAACGAAGCCTTTTATGCCTCTCGCTTGCAGCCTTGTGCACATCTTGCTGCTGTTGTCAAGCAAGGAGGACTTGGATCCAAGGATGGCAGAATACAGACTGCCGCCCCTGTCCTGCAACGGGATTCTGCCCTTGATCCAGAACCTGATGCCTTGTCTCCGTGGGAGCAGCATCGCTTTGGTCCCTTCAGAATGCAGCTCTGCCGCAGAGGGTCAAATGCAGGATCTTCAAGTTCTGAGGAAATCTAGAGTTCCAGGCGGAGGGTTTGAGGCATGTGTTCGGCAGGCCTCACAAGCCAGAAGCAGCCGCATAATGTCAAGCAACCGTAAACTATAATAAGCATCACATGCAAGATTTTGTGCCCGGAGCAGGCTGGACACCTCCAGAGAAGGCTGGATCGAGGAACAGGTGGGGTGTCGGGGCTGGCCCTTTTGTGATTCAGTTAGCTTTATGGCTGTTGCGAGGTGAGATTTTCATACAGCAACTTCAAAGAGGCTGATTTTCTCATGAAGCAGCTGCACGATTTCTTCCGAGAGTGCCGTCCTGAAATGGCAACTACGGTGGGCATAATCACGCCATATAGAGCTCAAGTAGAGCTCATACAGGATTTGCTAAGCAAAGCCCATGATCGTGTGCGTGCTTGTACATCCGTGGCCACCGTGGACGGTTTCCAAGGGAACGAGTGGCCCTGCTGCAATGCTTGATCATGCTGCTTAGTTTCCACTCTCCCACACAAGTGCGCAGCAAGGCGTGACATCATTGTCATATCCACAGTCAGGCCGGATACTGCTTCTTGGACATGCTGGCTCATCTGACTGGCCAAGTGTACCTGCCATAGGTCTGGAAAGGGCATCGGCTTCAATGCTGATGCAAGGCGGTTGTCCTTCGGCAGCAGTATGAACAAAAGTTTCTACTGGTTGAGTTCATGATGGTACCATGGCCTGTTCAGGAATGTGGCCGTCACCAGAGCCAAGCGGAATGTTTGGATCATTGGAAATATGGAGACCTTGTACCAAGGACAATCTAAAGGCGTTGAAGAGTGGAGTGCTGCTTGGACGCTTGAAGCCTTGAACGCCCGTGAAAACCGCCGACAGGTAATGTTTGGCGTGATCTCTTGGCCTTTGCTCGAATACGGGCCTGGGTTATCCCTGCCATCACGCCGCCTGAGCCATCAAAGCCACCAGATCCACCAGCCACACCAGATTTGTTGTGGTCAAGTTTGCAACAAGCCGAATGGGAGGACTTGATTTTCGTTCTCTTGTAGTGATGCCTTGCATGGGCTCATGTCCTTTTAGATCCGATTCCTCTGCATTCATTCTCAGAGCATGATTTTGGGATTCGATTTTTTGTCTATCTTTTATTGATCCCCAGGAGCAGAAGCATCTGGGCTGGATGACAGCACGTGAGGTGGGTGGATATTTGGTTGCGTATTGCAGCTTGTGCGACAGGGTGGCAGAAGACGGACATTTGGAAAGCAAGCCCCACACCGAGGCCAAGCAAGACCCCGCAAAGTATATGTCATTACAGAGCCGGGTCGATGGCTTCTTTGTGAACCTTCAGCTTGAAGGCGAGAATCATGGCCTGATCCTGTCTGAGATGGATGGGCAGGTGACGGTTGTGGGGGTGGAGCCAGAGTCCCTTATGGAGCAGTGGAATATTTGGGCATGGAAATTTGATGTTCAGGTGGAGGAAGGCTGCCGTGTCTTGGAGGTGGATGGCCTCCGGGGTCAGGATGCTGTGAAAGCACTTGCTGTCAGCAAGCGCAGGCTCGGGCTAACTGTGGCGATGCCGCAGCCTGAAACAGACGATGGTCAAGACTCACATGGTGCCATGGCGGCATCCCAGGGATGGCGGAGTGGCTTTGCCGCGCTGTCGGCTGATGATCAGGCATTGCATGTCAGGAGCGGACTTGTGGAGGGCCTGGAGTTCTGGTCAAGTCAGCAGGCCCCAGCTGACATAGCAGCCACATGGGCCACACGCGCCACACATGCACAGGAGCCGCAGTGGCCGCCGGTTGTAGACATAGATGGTCATGGAGTGCTGTGGCAAGCTCGTTTTAATGGCACCAGAGCCAAGGAAGCAATGGATTTGAGGTCTTCCCAGATCAGCATGCTCGATGCTGGTGCTGTGGTCATGCAAGTCGGAGCCTGTGTTGATCTCCAGGGATTGCTGCGAATGCAGATCTTTGTCGGGGCCGACTTGCTGGCTTGGGTTACTCTGGACGCGCGTGCGTGCGATGGGGACCTCTTCTTTAGTCCTGGATGTGCTGGCTGTCTCTGGCAAGCTCAGCGAAAGGTTGTGGTAAGGAGCGGATGCAATCTGGAGTCGGATGTAGTGGAGGAGTTTTTGGGAGGTAAGTTGGTCCGGCAGGTCGGTCCATGCGAGCTGACATCCCAGACTCTCCGCATGCCAGTCTCAACAGATCAGACCGAAGGCTGGGTTACTTTATCTGCGGCTTGCTGAAGAGATAGCTCTGTTTTCAAAGCGTTTCTCGAATCTGTACGCGGATTTTTTGGTACAGCCAAGGCAAGCGCCGCGGCCGGGAGGCCACTTTGGCGCTTCTACTTACAAGGGCCAGGGAGCTGCTGGCGTGCTTTGACGCAGCCACATGACATTACATGACTACATCTTTGTGCGCTTCACACCTTCTGTACGTTCCAGTTTCTTTTTCCCTAAAAATTCTCTTGACACTGAATTTTTCCGCGCTTGGAAACTGCAACTGCGAGGTTGAAGTGCCGAGAAAGCCCTGCCTTAGACTCCGCGCCGATGGAGCCACAGGTTGAACAGGATGAGCTTGTAAGACAGGAAGGCCACCTGGTGCAGCTTGAAACGGGAGTGATACGTTTGCCCATCGTGAGGCGTTCCCAACCTGGAGCCTTGGTCCACCGGGAAAGATTTTCAATTCAGGTGTAAAGGTACCCACAATGCACAAGGAATCAGCACGAACTGGAAGCCAGCTAATGAGCCAGGAGAGGTGGCCTGGGTGACTTTGGATGCGCGTGCCGCGCAAACCAACACCGGCAACCCCGGGAATGTCTACCTTGATTTCGTGAGCTATTCCGCATAACTCTGTGCGCAATGCATCCGTGCGCAATTCGCTTCCAGCCTTGTTCGCACGGATGCGAGCGCAATGCATCAGTGACCGGGCGAACACGAGAAAAAGTGCAGAGTCATTGACATTTGCAAACCGAGCCTCTGACCCGCCTTGGTCCCGCCAGCCTGTGGCGACGTTCGGTCAGGCATAGTCTGCATGCGCATGAGTGGGCTACCGCCTGCATCAGAGCCGTAAATTTAGCCAATCTACATTAATCTTCACATGCTTGCCACTTGCTCTGTCAGCACTCCACGCAGTGAGGAGCCTAAGTGCTACAAACACATGCGCGGCGTGCCCTGACGCTGATGAGCTTTGTTCGGGTGCATGGATCTTGCTTGGCAGCCGTGCTGTTGATCATGCCTCAGCGCATGGGAAAGGGTTTCAGTGAAGATCTTCGATGCTGAAAATGGCAAGCCCCGAGGTCAGGAGCGAGTTCTGTGGGAGGCCGACTGCCGAGAATGGGTGCTGCAATTGCTGCGTGTGTTGGGATTTGAAGGTCATGATGGCTTGGACGCATGTGCAGAGAAGCTGGGAAGCGGCATTGGGCCTGCAGCTGAGCTGCTGAGCTTCATCCCGTGTCTCAGACCAGACCTGGCTGGCGTGCAGCAGGTGTGGGCCTGACATTGATGCAGCTGTTGCCTGCTGGTAACTTGGATTTGAACTACGTAGTTCCATGCTGAAGGGAAACTGCTGGCTCTAGCTCCCTCAATGAGGGGTCCCACACCTGAGGTCGCTAGATGCTTCTATCCGTCGAATCCCTGGAGACTTGAGAGCCGCATGAGAAACATGAAGTTGCATTTGCATGTGTTTGCATCGTTGACGACAGACTACTGAAGAGGCTGGACCTGCTGGCCGCGGGAGAAGGTGTGTAAGCGACAGCGGCTTGCACAGCTCCTTCAGAGTCCACATTCAGGTGCCAACATGGGCATCCCATGTGCTGAGTGCCAATGCAGCTTGTCAGACGCTTCAGGCCAGCTTTGCCTATTCAGCTTACCAACATGTTCATGGCGCAAGTGAGGACCCACTTGGCCGACGCAGCTATCAGGGTGCGTGCAGCTTCAAACTGTCAGGCGGGTAGGAGAAATTGACGAGATTGAGCTTGGGAATAGCTTGCGCAATCCCCAGCACTTTAGGAACCTGGCAAACAGCGGCCAACAGAAGTGAACCTCGTTTTGTTAGCAGGTCTGCACTTCCCAATGCCGCGAGTGTTTCAGCCTGAAAATCCTCTCGTACAAGCGCGGTGGGACTGGTGGAATTGGGCGTCCGGGCCTAGGCCGTCTCCCAGATCCTGGGATGAGGGCTTCGCATATGCAGCACGCATGCCCAAGCCTTGGCAGGGTCCCACGCCAAGAGACGCTTGCATTTTCATCATGGCAGACCAACAAGGCTGCCACTCATGACCTTGGCGGAGAAGAACCACTTGCTGCAGGGCGTAGGCAAGACGTGCAGCGACCGTTAACATTAAGTGAAGCCAGATGGATCAAGATGTCGTCAGGAACAAACTGCATTTATGCCAGTTATGTTGCGCAAGCGTATGGCTATGATGGGAGGTTGGGATGGCGCAAAGTGGGCTGGTTTCTAAGTCCACTTTTGCAGCACAGTCATCTTGCAGCACGTGCCGACTGGCTGCGCCCCGGAGGCCCTGAAGCATGGCTATTACGTGGGGAATACGCTCCCGGTAGAGCGCCTGGGCTTGCCGCGGTCCTGGTAGGTTGTGTTGGGTTGCATGGGTTCCCTGAGCTGCTGTTGGCTCGGCGTTGATTCGCAAGTTTTTTTCTGGGTGACATCAGTTGAATCACTAGAGGCCGAGCCTCAACATGCAGGACTTCCAGGGTTTTCGTGCTCAGACATGTGCATGCAGAACTATGCCGGGGTTGGGCTTGAGTGTTGGGACTTTGGACATTCCACATCCCACTGCACCTTCCAGGCTCAAGCCACCTGTGAATGGCAGGACTTAGCAGTCGGGAAGGGGTGCAATGGCTGCCGCAAATTCGGAGGATCAGATGGTTCACAGCCACTCGCTTGATGATGAGACGGACACAGCGATGGCTACTTGACCTGCAGAAGGGCCACCTGAAAGCTAACGTCTTTGCTTGGTACATCCTGTTCTTGAGCTGAGGAGCCGCCGCTAGATGAGTTTGACATGTGGGACCACTACCAGGCTTCCACTGTAAGCGACTGTGCGAAGAAACGACTCATGGCTAATGTTTGAGCCTTTGACATATTTTTTTACAGCATTCGCGCAAGATGGGCTGCGATGCGCCAAGGAGAAGCTGTGTCGCAGCTCCAGAAGTCCTTCCTCGACCAGTTGCACTCGGAAATGGACGTCAACGCCGCTGCCGCAAAGGCGCTTCTCCACTTGAAAGCAAAGGCTTCGCTTGAGGAGTCATTGAGGAGCATGGAGACTTCAGAGGGTGTAGACGTTTCGCCCGCATGTTCCTGGTTGGACTCGCCAGAGTCATCCCCGATGGCCGAAGTGCGCGAGCAGCACGTCAAGATTTGTGACGAAGATGAAAGGACAGGTTGGTAAAGTTAGCTCGCTGCATGGAGGTGCATGCAGAAAAAGAGGCCATGCAACATGAAACGAGAGCATCTCGTCCATTTAAGTCAGAAGGTAAGAAGTCGTGTTGTCTGAAGGACCATGGAGCGAGACATGGATGAGTTTGATCTCATGGCCCAACGCAGCGCTGCTTTCGATTCCCTTCCGGAAGACCGCAAGAGAGCAATCTCCGCGCTGCAGTCCGCTTTCCTCGCCACTCCACACGCATATGAAGCATCGAGTCTCATGTGGATAGTTGGATTCTGCCAGGTGGGCTTAGGTTTTTCCAGAAAGCTTTAGGCGATTGCCGCTGAAGTACCGGAGATGCAAGTCAAGTTGAGTTAACTTGCACTACCTTTGGATGAACCAAGCCTGGCCTACTTTTCTTTGTCTAGGCTCTTAGGCGCTCCCAGCATTCTGCTACCAGTCGAAACTGTGATGATGCTGGTGCAGAGGGGCATGGCAGAAACTCACCAAGAGCTGCAGGAGAACGTATGTCCAAAAGTTGATGTCGAAAGATACATTTGACCAAGACAGCCTTGAGCAGTCACAACATGAGTTCATGGACTGACATCAAAAGAGGGGATCCCTGTTATTTCCTGCTTTGCCGGCGCCATGAGCCCTCCAGCCACCACATGAGGCCTGGACCCCTAATTTCGAGGGGTCTGGGCCATAACGAAGGCACATGAAAGCCCTGCAAAGTAGATGACCATCGACGCAAGACAAAGTCCCATTAAAAAAACGAAATGGTTCCGAGCATTGCAGGAGTGAACAACGCTGCATGATTGGGAATTAGCGCCCGCTTTGCCAGAGCTGCCAATTTCCAGCTATATCCAAAACGCTACTGTGTCTGGAGTGAACAAGGGTGGGAGCATTTGCGGGCCAGCATGTGCAGTCTTTTTTTGCAAAGCCTGGACCCAGAAAAGTTTCCGACACAGTCCTTTCTTTCCATGAGTATCATGGGAGAGGCTGTGCGCTGCACTGCGCCCATTACGTCACCTTGGTCTTGGCACTATCGGAATCGGCAGGGTACACTCAACTTCCACAACAACATCCCTTGTGCTAACCTAAGCCCTCAACCTGGAGGATGTGTTTCCCCACAGAAAAAGCTGGGCCCCTTCTGCTTGTATAGACAAAACGACAGACTCTTGACATGTCCTGCTGTTTAGGATGCATTGGACAGAGATGATGTGAACGGCGCAGCGGCTTCAGCATTGAAGTGCCTATTGTCCAGCCCATCAAGCAAGGAGGATGCCGACAGGCTGGATGTTCGCGCAGCTACTGGCAAGACTGCTATGGCACCGTTGTGTCCGTAGTTCACGGGAAGTAACTTATGTAAAGCCCGTCTTCAGCTAAATTGCAGGCGCAGTTCCAAGTCAGCAATTTTCCAGAAGATCTTCGAACAGAAGTTGAAATCGGCTGAGGCAACTGCTGAGAACCTTGTCAACAAAGAGTTAGCCGGAACGTGTGCGTGGGTAGTACGCATGCTAGTTCAAAGTTTCTCACCTCCTGCCATTCGCTCTTCACTTCTCAATTTTTGTGTTCCCTTTCATGTGGTTAATTCCATGATGGCCCTATATCACTTCCCGAGATTTTCGCGTCAGAGGTTCAGGCAACCTCTCCTCAGAAAAGCTTCAAAATGGAGGACTTAGATAGGGATGCCCAGTTCCTTCTTGCCTTTTCAACTTAGTGTTGACCCATCTGTTTGCCGATGTTAAATTCGTTTCGAAAGGCAGTTTGGCGGTCTGTCAGGATTTATTTACACACTTTGCCCGCTCTGGGATTGGAGTATGCTGAGGACAGTGCCCTTCTTTCAAACTCTTCAGGGCAGTGCGCTCATCTCCTTCATCTCATCCAGCGGGAGGATCCATCGGGGCTCTCTCTCCGATAGTCGGCGTCATGTTTCTAATCGTGTCTTTTAAGGCTGTTGCTGCCTCCAGGCTTCTCCGCCCCCTGATTGAGCACCCCTCCTAGTCTCATCATGTAAACGTAGGGTGTTCCAGCTTGGGCTGGGTTTAGCAGAACACCCAACTCTCACATGTACACGAAGCTTGTATTATACTTTAACATGTCTCGTGTAGCTTGTATGCAGGCAGTGCTTATGTGTGTGAGGGATTGTGAGGCCCAAATTTGCATAGGCCTGCTTTGATTGTATCGTAGCTCTTTCTCTTGCTGTGCGTTCTTCTTGTTGCGACGATGTTCGGCCCTTGTCGACCAATGCCAAAGATGGAGGAGCTGGGGCCTTACTGGATCCGCCCTGGCACGGCGAAAGCCTGCCCTGACCATGTTGTGGAAGTGTCGCTTTCTATTGTGCCGCGCGGCCGGCCTATGCCTGACCTGGATGACATTGGGAAGCTTTGGCCCGTTGGGCCTGAGCTGGCTGAAGACAGCGGCGCCAGCGGCTATAGTGGTAGCCGCGCCCAGAAAGGCTGCATTACCTTTGGATGCTGCGACGTTGGCGTGTCCCCACGGGTCATGGAGGGCTGTTGATGAGGAGAGCCTGCGTAAATGGGCAACAGTGTGGCAAACTCTTGTTGAGGCACTTTTGGGAGCGTCGCCTCATTTTGTTGACCTGAGCTCCTTGGCCAGCGGCTGCCTGTGGAAGGTTCTGATAACTAAAACTGCGTCCACTCTACAGCGACACCTACGTGGCTTCAAAGTGTTCATTGAGCTTGTCTCCGGCCATTCAGCAGAATTTGTGTATGACCCTGGGCGTCTTGAGCCTATCAACTTCTTATCTGCAGTTGGCGAAAGCAAGCGCTCCGTGACATCGGCCGTGTCGGCGTTGAAGTTCGCTGGTGGCATAATGGGGTGGGCGGTGCTATTGAGATATCTGGAGTGCCAAGTTGTGGCAGCATGGAACCTGTGACAGCGCGCAGAGAAGCTATGCCTCTACCTTTGTTTGCGATTGCTGGAATTGAGAGAGCGGTCATGGAAGAGGGTGCGTTCAAGGATTCCGCGGATACGCTACTGATGGTCTGCTTGCTGCTGATGTTCTGGGGCGCGCTGCGCTTCTCAGACCTGCAGCATGTGGAGGTGTGGTCCATGGAGTTGCAAGGTGATGTGGTTCGTGGCTATTGTTGGAAAACTAAAGCCTCGGCGAGAGGCATGCCGTGGGGTTGCTTGTGCCATGGCATCTACAGGTCTTGGGCGCCAGCTCTGGGTTGTCAGATGCTCCGGCCTCAGTCCGTGACTCGAAAAAGCGCTGGAATGGGTCATGCAGCATATGCGAAATTGCGACCTCCTCATTCCTGGACCCTCTGGGTCGCGTGCTTCTTTCACATATGTAAATGCGCAATTTCGTTGAATTCTGGTGTGGTACGGTGGCATCTCGGCAGACAAGGTGAACATCTACTCGCTGCATTCTCTAAAAGCCACCCCATTATCGTGGGCCCTGCAAGTGGGGGTGGAGACTGGCATGCGCCGGACCTGGCAACATCATCGCGCTCGTGACCCAGGGCAGGACATGGTTGTCAAATACAGCCGTGATGATGTCCTGCCCGCGCTGAGGGCACCATGGCAGGTGCTCTCCCAGGTACGTCGTGGCTGGGTGCCCATGACTCGGCAAATTCCTGTTACCGGAGCGGCAGCTCGACGAGAAGCCTACTGCAAACTTGCTCGCGCCGGAAGGGCTGCTGCCGCCGCCGGAGCTGCGGTTGGTTGACGCGTCTGGAAGTGACACAGATGCGGAGAGCGACTCCGAGGCGTCCTTGTCTGGGTCCTTGTCTTCTTCAAGCAGTAAGTCAGGCGAGGGTGAGGTGAACTACAAGACCTTGGGCGCATCGTTGGTTGCAGACGTGTGGATCCTGAACGCCCTCAACGGATGCTATCATGCAGCGGCTGCGGTAGATGGCGAGCAGGGCTTCGGCAGAGCCTGTGCTCCCGGCCGTGCTACTGCAGTCCCAAGGCGGGAAGTTTAGAGAGAGGATTTTGGTCTGGCTGAAGAGACCTTCTTTCCGTGTCAACATGCCGCGTGCGGGGGCCTTGGGCCTGGCCTGAGTGGGCCAAGTCCTACTCCGTGCGTTTGTGTGTGACGCTTGGGGTGTGTGCCTGTACTTGTAGTGAGTGGGCCTGCGGCTTGGGAAGCGGTGTAGTTATTAAGTGACGCACCCTGCTGCGGTGAGATTGCTTTGTGTTGCATCTAGTGTGGCAGCATGTTTTATTGAGTGTGAGAATGCTGCGGTGGGCCTACTGTGTGATTGGATGGCGTGGGTGGACAGCTGAGAAATGGCCAGTGGTCCGTGGGATCTTGGCCAGTTGCTGGCCCATTTGATTGTGGCTGCAGTGGCCATTGCTAGGTCTCATTGTTGCAGGGGGGTTACCCTGTGAGGTGTGTGCTGCGCGCTGGAGTAGCAGTGCAGTTTGCTTGCCTGCGCGTGGATTGCCCTTAAGTTTAGGGCAGTTGGCAAGCTTGCTGGAGTGGCGGTGCGCTGCGGGTTTGTGCGGGGTGTGTGATAGTGAGCCTCGTTGCAGTGCATTCTTGACAGACTATGCAGCCAGTGTGGGCTGTCGATCGGTGCCTTCTTGCTGTGCTGTCATTCGTGCCTGCCATGGCGGACTTGGCACGCGATGATGTGACAGTGTGGGCTGAACTTTTGAGGAAGTTGAAAGTTATGGAGAGCGTGAAGGAACAGCTGGAGGCTAGTGGGTTCAAGTTGGCGTCGACACTGTACTGGTCACTGAAGGAGGAAAGTGAGCAGAGCCTCAAGTCCCTCCCGGAGAAGGCAGGCGTGGAGCAAGGATCGGCGCCGACACTTCTGTCGACGGTGGAGGCGGGTAAGCTTCGCCGTCTTCTTGCCGAATGCAGAGGAATGTGCGAGCAGGGAGAAGATGATTCCGGGAGCGTCTGGCTCTGGTCCCTGCCGCCAAGCCCGGAAACTTGCTCGGCTTGGACCTTGGTCAAAGTGGATGCGGCCAAGCTTCGACAGTTATGGGTAGACTTTGACAACGAGTATCCGTGTGAACAATTGGAGTGTGACAGCCGTCCAGCAAAGCAGCTTACACAACAGATCTATGGGCAAAAGCACGCCAAGGAGCAGCGCTTCATTCCCTGGAAGCAAATCGTCTCTGAGGTCTAGGCTGATACGGCGCGCCTGGCACAGGCACCGAAGGAGAAGACGTTCGTGTCCCTTCTAGCGGAGGCATCTTGGAGTTGGACCCGTCGCCGTCGCCCTTTGTTGTGCAGAAGATTTTGAAATGAGGGGAACATGCTGGGCGCTGGTCGGCTGGTGCCATCTTGGCTCCACGAATAAGGTTTTGCAGAAGTTCATTTCCTTGTATGCTGCGCCCAATCTCCATGCAATGGCCTTGCGTGCGCCCAGCCTCGCCGAGACCGAGGCGGCAGATGCGGAATTGCACCGGCAGCTGAACTTGGTTATGTCCGCGGGGAAGAACTTGGACAAGGCTATACATGAAGTGATGTGCGTGCGAAATAGCTTGAACTGTTGGCTGCAGCCGCGCCCCATGGACAACAGCAAAGGCAAGGGCAAGGGTCGCGGCAGCCACCCATATGCCCGTCGCTCAAGAATCCAGCCAAAGGCGACGGCAAGAAGGGCGCCAAGAAGAAAGGGCTCCGCCACGGTTTCCAGGTGGGAAAGTGTGCAAACTCATCCACGCGTGCGAGAAGTGTGACAGTACGGAACATGGCCACCAGGATTGCCCTCTCCTGGCCTAGGGACAGCTCTCGTATGCCTTGAGACAGCCATGTGCAACTCAGTCCCGCTGCGGGTCCAAGTGCCTGCAGGGAGAGGCAGCAAGAGATGCGCAAGACATTGATGTTACAGCAAGTAAGTTGACAATCGATGGATTTGCAAGGAGAAGTGCTGAGTGCCACAGCGTGCTTCTCAAAGATGGTGGTGGCTGTTGAGTACCCTGGATTGAGGCCCTTGCGCGATCCTGGATGCGTTCGACGTGCCATTATGGAAAGTATGCCAATCAGCTCCTGCCCCCGGGTGTGTGGGCTGGTATTCAAACTGGTTTAGGGTTCGGAGTTAGGCCTTACCCCGCCTTCCCTATGCCCCGCCTTTTAGGTTGTTCCGGACTCCGGAACAGGATTTGAGGGGTAGGGGTGCGTGAGCCAACCCCACTGCGTGGCCTGCGAGTCTTGGCAGTGCACATTTGGCAACGCGTCGGCAGCCCACATGTGTTGTGAGTATAGGTTGGGCATGTTTGCAGGCTTCTCGATGGCATTCTTCGATTTCAGTGATCATTGCAAGGAGAGTACGTGCAGGTTGACGTTTTTACCATCACAATCACAATGGGCGGATGGTTTTTGCATGGTGCAGCGCAGAAGCGCTGGTTTCATATCCCACTGTCGAGGAGTGGTGCTGCTCTGGGAGACTAGAGTTAGCCATCGCTGCTGTGGAAATGGTTGCGCAGCAAGCCTTACTTATCGCGCGGGCCAAGGTTTGCGACAGGCGTACTTTGGCAAATGTGTGCTTGAGACAGCAATCAGATGACATGGGCTTCGTAGGTTCTTTGGGCAAGGGTCTGTGCTCAAAGCCGCCCTTGTCGTGCGCTTTGATGAGCATCTGCTTGACTTCCCTGGACTTGGAGTGCAGGGTACAGGCGTGGCATGTTGCAGGAAAGCGAAACCAACATGCGGACAAACTGAGCAGGCGCAACTGCTTGGCTTCAAAATCAACGATGACCACTTCCGCAGGTTTCCACCTGAGCTGCAAGTGGTGATATCAGTGAACGAGGTGTTTGCTCCATGGAAATCCTTTCGCCAGCGCGGAGTGCCCAAGGGTACGGGTAGGAAATGAGACTTTGGGTAGGTAGTGTAGTGTAGTGTTCCTGTGTGTACCGGGTGTTCCTCGCGCGGTTGCGGCGGGCCTTGGAAAGGGTAGGCAACCACGCTTGGCAGCAGACGTTGTTTGGGGTGAGGGGCTGCTGCCTTTGGGCACGTCCGACCAAGGCAAAAGTAGCTGTGCATCCTTTGCATCATGACTGCTGCGTAAGAACGTGTGAGGTACACTTTCCATCTCAAGTTTTCCACGTAAAGTCTTTTTTTAGCTTAGGTTATTCAGCCCCTCCTCAGATGATTGCTCAAATCAATATATTTGGCCGGTTTGGCCAATGACTTTCAGCGGGTCACGGCTCCTTCGCAGCTTTGTTCCGCAAATCGTTTTACCCTTTTAGGACCTACTTTTCGGCACCCTCAGCCTTTGCGGGGTGAATCTACATCAAGGCCCTCCGCGCAATGCCTTTAACAATCAAATTCAACCCATTACCCTGGACCGTAGAGGATGGACGAGTTGTACACAAACCCTGTAGGCGCACCCCAAATTGAATGCTGCCGTGCAGACAGCTTTTGTACACGAAGCCTGTGCGTGCAAAAAAGTATGCACGTAGAAAGTTGGGTCAGATTCGCAGGGTGCAGATCTTGCGGACTTTGCGTGACTGTGAAGCTTCCTAATATTCTGTTTGTAGGGGCATTTTTGGTTTCTGGCAGCCAAGAAAGCCCGCTTAGACAGGTGCGAAGGTTAAGTGGAAGCACCACAGATTCCCGCCAGAAATGTAGAATCTTGTTCAGGATCCAGGCAAGCTGCTCGGAAGGACTTGATGCAGCAAAGATTGAGGCGCTCAAGGCCTTTGAGCTGCTTACAAGTACCTTTCACATGTCATAGATGCTGTTGGCTTTCCCGTAGCCTTCGTGTCGCAGGCCTGGAGCTTCTTGCTTCAGAAGGAGGCGGAGAGTGCCACGGATGCCAACGGGGCCGTGGCTGCGGCCCTGCTGCGCCTCAGCAAAATGACGGCTCAGGGAGATGAGCCTGGGCCTGGGTCAGCTGGAAGCCAAGACTTTTGAAAAAGGCTTCTGCTTCCTGAGAGCTTCGCTATGGCGTAAATATACTGCCACATTGTTGCTTTTACTTCCAGCCCCACAGAAAGGCCTGAAGCCTCCCATCTTTTGCTTGGCGCCCTTGAGGGCTGCCAGCTAATCCCTAGGCGCTTGATGCGCGAAATGTACAGAAACTGCTAGAAATGCCCGTCCTGCATACAGCCTGGAAGCCGAAGAAACAGTTCCCTCAATACTACTCTCCAAAGGAGGTTGGCACTGCTTGCGTGTGTGCAAGGCCACACACTGCATCTGTGCAGGGGCTGGTTCTTGAGCTTGGCAGGGTGGACAACTTGGGATTGGGAGAGCCTCCTGCAAAAGCTGCAAGGGCACTTCAGTTTAGATTGCCCTACACTCCCTAGCAGCCTCTTGAACTGCTAGGTTGCCAATAAAGGCCAGGTGTTCTGGTTGCTTTGGGTCTCGGGTGCAGGGCTTCTTCCTGGGCGCATTCGGAATGCCGCACCTAATCACCTTCGCGACGCAATCATGGAAAAACGGTATTTGGCTCGCCGGCAAGTGAGCTCGGATGATTGAAGAGCATGTTGAAGGTTATTGTGCCCTCGCAGGATTTAAGCGCTTGTAACACAGGTCACTCTGTGCTTCAAAGACATCGTTGTTGTTTTGAGCTAGTCTTGGAAGGGGACTGGTGACGAGACAGCAGCAGAAGTGCCCGCGACATCAAGCAAAGCAAAGCATGCAGCTGCTAGTCCTTGCAATGCGCGGTGCGCTGCAGAAACTCGTGCAATGCTGAAGGCCATGCAGTAGTCAGTTTTGTTGTTGAGAAGTTCTGCTCGGCAAATGTCGATCGATTCGGGCTATAGAATCCATTTCAAGAAAGAAAGGTGCCTGATGGCTGCTTCGAGTTTCTCCATTGCTGCAAAGGCCCCCGTTTCTGAGCTGAGATCGACTGCTACTTGTTTCATGCCGTATCCACGGGAGTTGGACAGGTCGGCAAGGAGCGTGTGCCTCTTTAGCAGGCACTTTGCGTTGCACTGGGCAGGCCATGCAGGCCCTGTGTGAGAAAAGCCAGCTTGGCCAGACGGAGAGTGAAGAGGCTTGCCCTCCTGAGCCGGACACAGCGAATGCAGATAGCCTGACTCATGTGCGAGCTGATGATGTACAGATGCTCAGAGTGGAAAACGGCAAGGAAGATGAAGCTTGGGACTGGTGCTCCGAAGATGCCAGCATTGAACCTTCCATCCCAACAATCCAGACCCTACCTCACCGGCCCAAGATCACTGTGGGTCGGTCCTCCAGCACGCCCACCTCCATCAGCACGGAGGCTTCCAACCTCCTCAGGACTGATATGCAAAGCGAGTCCTGCGAGACCGACCAGGAGTGCTTGTGCATTCCGGCGGATGCTTCGCTTTTGGAAGGTGTGCGGCTGCTTGTCTGGCACCACCTTGGAAAGAGTCTGGGAGAGACAGCGCTGACTCCTAAGCAAAAGCAACTGGTGGAACGCCATGTGCTGCATTTGACGCGGTATGCAGAGAGACTGAAGCAGACGATTCTGAGCACAATGGTCTTTGATCATGGTCAAGGAACCGATGTGCAGGAGAGCCTTGAACAGGACGTGTCATTCGCCGCATCATCTTCAACTGGGACTGAGCCTCGACAAGTGCGCCTGAGGGACAGCGAACTTCTTGAAATTTACCGCAATGCTCAGGCAGAGGCAGGCAGGGAAGCTGATTGGCGTGGCCTGTCAGACCACGCAGACCACGCTGCGGCATCTCAAGGGTGGCGCTACGAATGGCTTCGTCAGCTGCGCCAGAGCTTCGATCGAGGCGGGCTGTTGAAGGCTGCTGGATTTTAGACAACATTTTGCACTTTCCGCCATTTGAAGGATCTTGCCCGAAGCCCAAGTCACCTCGCGTGCCACCAGAACCGAGGCCAGGCCTAAGATCACCTTTGCCGCTGCGCAGTTGACTTGTGATGACTTGTGGCTCCACAGGTCTGGTGATGTAGCTTGAGCGCCCAGACTTCCCCTACCTCGGCATTGGTTTCACCCTGCGTGCTTCTGATTTTGTTGGAATGCTTGCAGGTTTGCAAGTTGCACCGCTAATTCAATTTAAAAGCCCGGCATTAGCAGCGGTGCTGGTGCAAGCGAAATGCAGAAGCACGGGAGCAATTTGCATCGAATCCTGGAGAAGGTTGACCAAACGCAACAGTAAGCTCACATGTTACCTGCCCGCAAGCTTCAGAGCAGATGCACACTTTTGCGGTCAATGACGTCCACGTCATGCAAGGCAACTTGTAAAAGGAACATGTGGAATGAGGCGCAGAACCTGGCATAGGAGAACAAGACTTATGCCCCACAAGTAGACGAAAGCAAACCCTTGGCAAGGGAGCTGACCAGTCCAGTTGGCAAGGGGCACAGAGCGGCATGAGCTGACGCACTCTCGTGCCTGGCTATGGGGAGGACAAAGCATCAGGTCACAGCCGACGGCCGCTGCAAGCGTGAGCGCAAGAAAGGTGCGGTTAGAGCGGAGGCGTGGCAGATCATTGGAGCATTTGATTCGTGGCCTATGTACCACCAGGGATCGAGGGAACGGCAAGCTTCACTCAGTCTGTCGTTGAACTAGTCCACGGCTCTCGCTTGGCCAGAAGGCCGCCATGTCTGTATGCACATTGCAGGTTGTGGAAACCTGGAAGTGCCGGAAGTGTGTCCCGGTGGAAAAAGCTGCTTTGGCAACAGGGCTGCCTTTTTTCTAGTTTGATGTCAGATGTCTTTACAAGTCAAGGCAATTTCGCCAACGATGCTTCTTTGCCCTTCTGCCGCTTGCCTCGCTGAAGCCACTGAAATTTCAGTCCATGATTAAGTTTATAAGGATGATGTGGGGGTAGTGTTCTTCTTCCATGATTCAATGAGACTCCTCTTGAATCGTCAAATCTCGTTCGCTTTGTGGAGAGAAGCAGCCACTGTTGGCAAGGTGAGATGTGTGATGAGCCCCGAAGAGACGGCCACTTGCCGTTCATGAAGAATTGCTTAGCTCATCTTTTCATGCCGGACCACCTCAGTTTACCATGGTCCAAGGTGAGGATCCAGAGAGCGAGGCTTGCCAGCAGCAGGCACCTGAAGCACCGATGGGTTCCCCCAGCTGCCTTAATGGAGCCATAGAACAGCCATCCAAGGAGGACGAGGACCTTGCAGAATGGCTGTGTGGCAGCAGATGGGACATTGGGCGATAGATGTCCATCTGGGAAGGAATTGACACATGATTGGGTTGAAACAGTGTGGAGTATACCGTGTGTATGCAGCTGACACGAGGACCCTTCCCTTCAAAAAACGTAAGACGTAAGACCGGGGAAGCATGCCAGCTCTAGTCCTGGCACAAGGTGCCCAACACGCAGCCAAGGTCTTGCAGCTCGTGTTCCTTTAAGAACATTGGCCTGCTGCCCTATTGTGAGGTTTGCGAGGCCTGGGTGCGACATCGTGATGCATTTGCTTCACCTCGCAGGGTCATGCTAGAAAATGCAGTTCTGCAATGTTCTGCCCAGTAGACTTCAGAGGCACCCCGAGGGTCCTCCTCAAACGCGGCTGGGTCTGCAGAAGAGGCCTGGACCAAAGCCCATCTGTAAATGGAGCCCAAGGAATCAGTGCCTGAAGCAACTTGTGCAACTTGGGAGGCCGGACGTGAGTGCCCGCTTTGTTCCTTTCGCAACGCAAGCCATCGCACTGCCTGCGAGAGCCTTGCCACAAAAAAAGTTTGATGAACGTCGTTTTGGTGTGGCCTCGACACATTAATCAATTGATCATGATGGCTCTCCGAAGGATGTGCTCGACCCCGATGCCACCACGAGAGACGCCGGCATCGGGTAGTCACGGGCTAAGAAGAATTTCCGGGGTTGTCATTGATGTTTGCCACCTCGGTTTTTCTGTCAGGCAGTGCGTCGCGGCCTCCTGAGCCCCCGGAACCAGAAGAAGAAGCCCCCGCACCTTGCACAGACGAGGCCTGCAATTCTGGTTCACACATGCTTGCAAGCGGCGGGCCAAGCGGAGTCCCTCGACTCTTCTCAGCTGGAACAGGAGCGCCGGCTGCTAATGTCCATGGGTTGGACTCCGGAAAACGGAGATGACGAAGATGGCGGTTTGGAGGAGCGCTTCGGCGGGCTTACGGCTTTCGTGACCTGCGATGCATTCGGGTCATTTGGCATTGCAATTCATGTTTGGTCATATGAGTTGGGAAGGGGCTTTGCAATGGCAGACCCTCTGGGTTCTCCGAGCTTTCCAGAAGCTTGACTTTTGTTGCGCAGGACTGGGAGATACACGCTGCAGAAGAGAAGCTTGGTGGAGTGCAGTCTTCAACAGAAATTTCATCTGCGGAGGATTCACGTTGAATCCGGCGCAGAACAGGAAGCTTGTGGAATGCTTGGCGTAGCGGCGTAGTAGCAGCAAACATGAGAGTACCGTACCTAGGCAGGCGTCAGCGCATCTACTTTGAAAACCCAAGCTTATTCCTGGGCCCTCCTCCTGCACGAAGAACATGTGACCTCTTTGGTCTCAGGGCTTCTTGTTTCGAGACGTGCCGTTTGACGTACAGAAATTCCGAAAGGCCCAAACGAGCTAAGCGCCGGACTCAACAATTCAAACATCCAATAGCAATGCCCGAACCAGCAGCGAAAGACACCAAGTCAGCCATGGCATCTGAAACAGTTGTCAAACGCCTTCATACAAGAATTTTTCGTAGATGAAGACGATGAAGGTCTTGGAAGTGCACCTCATCTCAATTTGCAAGTGGCAGTGTGCGAACCCAGGAAATTCGTCCGCAACCTGCAAACAAAACCGGATCGTGAAGGTTTGCGAGAAAGGGCACAAAGAGAATTTGAAGCCTGGAAATCCCAGTGAGTATTGAAGCTTGCGCAACTTGGTGGCAGATCGTGGCACAGTTGCTTGTGCGAGTGGTTGCTGAGGGCATTGTCCCTGTCTGCTGCGTAATAGTGCGCACGTAGAGTCTGTTTTTTTGTCATGGCCAAGACAAGACCAGCAATGGCTACTTCTAGCTTGCACTCATCTGAGGCCGGGCAGCTGGCAGCAGCTTCAGTGAGCTTTGTTTCCTGGTTCTTGGTGAGCAATGGGAAAAGAATTCCCCCGAGCCACTGTTGGAACGAAACCAGTCTCAAAAGCTTTGCTGAGAACTTGTTAGTGTAGCGACTTCCGAAGTCTTGTTGTTAATGCGCGGCTCTGATGCCCAGCGGAGAAAGATGGAAGTGCCCTACAGTGTATGCTCCAGAATGGCTGCACCACTTTGGGAAACCATCCGTTCGGAGGATGCAGCAGATGGCTTTCGCATGTACTGGCCGCTGCCTCAGTAGGAAAGCCAGGGTTGAGATTTGGGACAGAAAGCCGTCTTTTTGTCATCCGTATCCGGGGACTTGGAATGATGTAGGGATTGCAGGAGGCCTGTGGTGATCTCTGACTTTGGAGGTGCAGGAGCCAAGGCTGCAGCAGACAACCATGCAGGCCTCTTTATAATCCTCAACTGATATGGCACCCTAGCTCTGGTTTTGAAACCTGTGATACCCGGGGCAAATGCTGCAATCAAGAGATGGCTTTGGCTCAAGAAGCCGGATTTTATCCCTTCCAGTGTTCAGCCGACAGCAACTCAGGTTTCGCCAAAGCCCTTTGAAGCAAAACTCAAGACATGTGCCACGCAAGAAGCTCTCTTCCCCCATTCCCGTCCCAAAGCATTCCCCAACTTGGTTCTTAAATGCGTCGCAAAGCTTCTGTGACGGAGCCTCCAATGGACGTTGCGTTGGCCCATCCGGAGGATGAAGGTCTGGCGTGGTTTGAAAGGGGTTGCCCTTGACCCACCCCAAACAGATCTCATTGATACTTGAACAAGAGTAGCAGGGCTAGGTATGGAGTCCTTGCCTCCCAGAAGGGTACCTACCTCACAACTGCCCACCAATATGTGCCTTGCACTTCAGGGAGAAATTGTTCATTTTCATGTGCGAATGCTTGTTATGCACTACTTCAGACCGAAACCTACACCTAAACCTTCAAAAGTGACATTTGTCTAGTGTTGCTGGCTGTTGCAAGCCCTTTGCCTATTTCTTCGCCGCGAAGGTACCAGCAGCGAGGAGGACAAATGCGCCCCAGATGCAAGAAGGGCTGCCATCTTCTTCAAATTTTCGTCTGTAAAGCCACGGGAAGCCGGTCTTTCCATATTAGGTTGTCAGCAACACATGGGCCTTTGCCGTGCTTCCTTGAAAGCTCCCTGCTTCCTCTGAGAGTGGGCCTGAAAGCTCCTGAAAGAACCTTGATGCTGAGGTGCGAAATTGGACAAGTTCTGGGTTCCCGGTATCTTGGCTGCTTCAATTTTAGGCTTCACGATTGCATTTTGCCTGGTTGAGGGGCCCTGCTGCTGGGCGTGATCGTAGGCCTGCAGAGCACTGCCGGGGAGTAGGCGCTGTCATGTTGGGTGGCAAGAAGGGATCATCTGACCTGCAGGGCTCCTACTCCCTGCCAGCCAGCCTGGCTGGGGTGGGCGCACTTCAGAAGTCTTGGGGTGGACCTACTTCTTTGCTTGGCCGGCCGCCCACTTGCCTGGAAGCCCAGAATCGCATGCCAACTGGCCGCCGAGGTCTGTATCGTTTTATCCACAGGCTTGAGGGCTTGAAGGACTTCTCAGCCGTAATTCTCCCGCGCGATGGTGACAGGTCTTCCTCAACATCCGAAGGCAGAGCGTTGTGGGCCTATCCCTGGATTACCAGTGCCTTGGCTTGGAGTTCTTGTGCATTGCCTCAGTGAGTTAGGCAGAAGCTAGAGGACTCAAGCCGACAGCATTAGAATGCCAAGGATTCTTAATGCAGCATCTCAGTTGCATCCCATGGGATTGCTCAAAAAGAAATCTTCAACCGTGGAGTTTTTGGCTGAGTTTGGCTTCGCCTGCTACTTCCTCTTCAATGCGCTTCTGTTCTGGTCGCCGGGTATCCGGGCTTCCTACCGGCAGAGTCACAATGGCCAGGAAATGCACATGAAGTGATTTCAGTGCTTCACAGCAACACATGCCATGATGTTTCTCGGCGTGCACCGTTTTTCCGCCACCTTGTGTGAGTTGGTGTTGCGGTGACACATTTTGGTAGAGACATGCGCGCGCGGTGCAACACCAACCGTGGGATTAGCAAGATATCCACAGCGTAGCAATACGTACTGCAACCCATGTAATGCCGCAAGGACAGCGCTGTCCGGCTGAATGACGTAGTCTTTGCGGGCCATGCGCTGCTTGTCACCCTGGTCACCCTCGTGCAGATAGGTCGGGCAGCTGGATTCTATGTTGTTCCTCATCTTGCTGGATAATTTGACCGATGGAAAGAGAATAGGCATGCATCCGCCATACACTTTTCTGCAGCTCTGTCTTGCTCATCTGTGCGTGGTTTCTGCGCCAACACCTGGAAAGGCCGAATTGCAAGAAATAGTGTCAGCCATGGTCATCGCCAGAGTTTGCTACTTCCGGGTCCTGTGCAAGTCTGCTTTGCAGCTCTTCGCCATCCTCCTCAGCCTTGAGCAAGCTGGAGCTTCGCCCACGCAAAGCCAGCAAGTAACGCAAGTAACGAGACCGCGTAGAGCTCCGAACGCAGTCGCTGCCGTGCCTTTGCCCCTGCACTTGGGAGCTACTGCTGGGAGTCCGGGCGTTTATGTGCCAGTGCAGCTGGTGAGTGGGTTGCAGGGGACACATAGTTCTGCAGCCGGGAATTTGTGGACTTGGGCCAGCATCTTAGTTCTCAATTCGCAGCGGGGCATGAGCTATTTAAGGCATTGAGCGCTTGCACGGCCAAGGTGGTAGCGGCCACTGGCGCGGCCTGGCACGGAGTGAGGCAGAGCCATGAACCGCGTCCTGTTCGGCGCAGTCAAAGAGCAGACCTGGTCCCAAACGCGAACAATGTGAATGCGGCGGACCATCCTCATGATGAGGGCTGGCACACAGCCAGTGAAGACGAGGATGACCATTTGCCCAACCACTTCCTCCCCGAGCAGGCCTGGCAAGGTCCAAGTGTTGAGCAAGGCCACTTCCAACCCCTCTTCCAGCCGAGCTTTTCCCAGCTGCCCGATGGGAGCTCTCCGGAAACGATGCACCGGTTCCAGCAGCCATCACACATGCCGCAGATGCTGCAGATGCCGCAGATGCAGCAGATGGTGCCTGTGGTCATGGTGCCTGTGCCCATGTGTGCAGAATCAAGAGCAGGAACCCCGCAGCCGGTTGGACAAAGTGAGACCAGTGCTGGTGCTGCTCATCTTCCCGGACCAGTCTCGCCTGGGCGATTGGATCGAAACAGCTCCTCGGCACTTTCAGAGGTATCAGACTGGGCCTCTGTGGAACAAGCCTCCATGTCATCCACTTCCAGCTCCATGCAACGAGCTCCTCGATGGACGAATCGGGATTGTGATTGGGCCATCCGACAGCTGTCTTCGAATCCTAGCCGGGAGCTGTTGCAGCAGATTCTGCAGGATGCCTGGGTTCTGGCAAGCAGCAAGCACGGTACCCGAGTCGTCCAGGCCGCAATGGATGTGGCAGAGGCCCCTGACAAGCAGCTTCTAACAAATGTCTTCAAAGGCCGAGTCTGGTATGCCTTGAAGTCACCCCATGCCAACCACGTTCTGCAGAAGATCATCGCTCTCATGCCCCCCGACAAGATGCAGTTTGTCTTCGAGGACTCCAGGCTATTCAATACCACCAGGTTGCCTGCACTTCCCCCCAACCGGGAAGCGACGCGCTAAGACTGTTCGGTGATTCCTCCCAACAAACATTTTTAATGTGGATTCGTTCATGCGTGGTGTATTGAGAAAAGCAGATTCCTAGCGGACCCAACCAAGGAGCTGACAGGGCGTGTTGACGAAGCTGCCAGGCGCTTTGCTTGGCTTTAGTTTTGCAGGGCTGCTGCGAGCTGTTGATGTGCCGGTGGGCTGTGTGTTCAGTCTACCCAAGGCATCCGTTTGGATGCCGCGTCCTGGAGAGACTCCTGGAACACTGCGGCACTGCGCAGAGCGACGTGTTGCTTGACGAGCTGTTGTGTCTTGGCAGCGAAGCAAACCGTACTGCCTTCTTCAGGATTCAAGAACAAGCGTTTCCCGAAGCTTTAACGGCCCTCGGATCCCCCAGAAGATTTTGAAACAGCTGCTTCACCTCCATGATGCTGGGCGTAGGCTCAAGAAAAGCTCCGACCACGGAATCTTGAGCATGTAGATTAGTTGGCGCTTGATGGCTATCTCCTTTGAGACTGCCTGCCAATCCAGTCTAGCGGACGCTCCATCTGATTTTGAAAGGCTGCATTCATTTCTGGAGCAGCAGTTTTCGAGGCAATTCGAGCTTCTGCGTGAGGTGAATGATCGAGTGAAGCTTTTCCAGCAACGCAGCCAACCAGCATCTCTGCCATTTACGAGTTGCAGAACAAGTGTGCGATCGTCCGTGATCCACGAGGACTCTGTGATTCATCATGGGATAGACCTGCAGAAATCAGCTACCGAGCATATCGGTGTTGCCGAGAGCAGAACACCCAGGGAGGATACGTTTGATGAGGGCAGACGGGAGTTCGAGAACGCGGGAAGGAGCAGGAAGCGTGACAGCGCCCGTCACTCCTTCGTACGCCGCACGCTGGAAGCCCACAAAGAGAAGGCCGACCATGAGGCATCAAAGTTGAAGTTCTTCCGATCAAGGAATGTTGTGGCCGTTCCAGTGGCGCGCTCTTGGCTAGCCACTCAAATTGAGAAGCTCGTGGCCTCACGCCTCTTCAGCAACTCAATCATGTTGCTGATTCTGTTGAACGTCGTCCTGCTCGGTGTTGAAGTTGACGTGTCGACCTTACTGGGTCAAGAAGAGATCCCTGCATGGTTTGGCATCGTGAACACTTGCATCGTCATGGTCTTTGTCTTGGAAGTTGTGCTCAAGTGTATTGCCATCGGGTTTGCCGAGTACTGGTGCGGCCATGAGGCCTGCTGGAACATGTTTGATGCCTTCATCATTACGGTTTCTGTCTTCGAAACAGCTATAGATGCTCAGTGGCAGTTTGCACAGGCCTTCTCCAGTCAATGCGGGTTTCCTTGAATCAGCAGCATAGAAAGGATCCCCGCACTGCCAATATGAATAATTTGCAGGAGGCCATGCATGTAGTCGTTGACGGGCTGCCTAGGACGTTTGGGCGCAGTCCATGTCATCAGATGTTGCGAACTCGAGTCATCTGCGAGTGATCCGCACGATTCGTTTGGCACGTGCTTTGCGTGGTGTGCGTGTGGTCCGGCTTTTCCGATATGTCGCTTAGATTTTTGAGGTACTAGTATGCTCTAGGCATCAAATATTTTCACGTTTTCTTACGACCTCTCGTAAAAGAGCCTTTTGCGCTTCACGCGACAATGAGGTCAGCGCTCTCAGGACCCTGGCTCTTTGCATCGTGAGCACCATTGGCTCGCTGATATGGACGTTGGTGTTATTAGTTCTGCTGTTTTACACGTTTGGCGTCATCCTGACGCAGCTGGTGTCGGACCACTGCAGAGATCAGAATGTGATAGCCACAGGCGATGTGAATGCAGCTCCTGTATGCCCTGAAAATCTACAGAGGCATCGGAAACGTGTGCAGGTTTGGGCCGTGGCTTGAGATTCTGAGTTCAGCCTAGCTTGACCGGTAGGAGAGTCTGGGAGCCCCCCGGCCTTACTTTTGTAAGGGCACGAGAGAACCTTCCTCAGAGGCTCTGGAAGCTTCGCTTTGTGGAGTGGTGTCTGTCAGCTCTCAGGAACTGATAGGGTTCAACGCTCCAAAGAAGGGCTAGACTATACACGAAACAGAAGGCAACAGTAGGCAGGGTGGATGAAAGGCTGCTGCGCAAATGTGGGTGGCAGATTGAGGGATTGGTTTCTTGTTAGCTGTTCTGGCTAATTGTTGCAGTCTCCTCATAATTTGGTAGTCGCTGCTGGGCGGGTAGGCTTCTCGGAAGGGTTGTATTACATCCACTGAACAAGTCAATTTTTCATGTCCCTGAAGGCACTGGTCAAGCGTCCCAGAGAGCATGCTTACACTTTTCATGGCCATCTCGGGCGGCATAAGTTGGGAAGATGCCATGATTCCTCTGCGAAATGCTTCAGAATTGGCCTGCGCTTTTCTGATCCTATACATAGTCATTGCAGTTTTTGCAGTATTAAATGCCGGCGCCTCAGTCGCAGCTGCTGACCGAGCAGTGTGTATTGCAGAATGGTTAGGAGCTTCGCAGAAACATTTAGATTGCTTTTCAGGATCCACACTTCACATGTTATACGCTGGCATTGTCACGTTTTGTTGTTCCACATTCTTTGTTGTGGAAGCTCAACGTTTATGCTGACACGAACGTGGCCAACTGGTCATGCTGACTCTCTGAGTTACTAAATGCGCTTAGAGAGACAAAGAGCACTTCATCAGCAGAAATGAGCAATGCAAAACTTCTCGCTGCTCGCAACGTCTCGCGAGATCTTGAGCAGAACGTGCTCGTCGGCTCCGAGACTGTTATTCTCCGCAAAGTGGAACACCCCACTGTTGAAAGCGGATTCTCCCGAAATTCCACAGTGGCCCCTCAAAGACACAGACTTGCTCCCTGTGGAATAAGCTTTGTTTGGGTCTTGCTTTTTGGGGCTGCTGCCTTCTAATTTGACACTACGATGTGAGTTATTGCGTGTAGTGTTGCTTGCGCAGGTTGTCACGGGTGTCCTGAGCTGATTTGGGAGCGCTTTTTGAATTTGGAATATTTTTGTGAACTTCCAAGATTTCCTGTGATGTTTCATGGTATAAAATGACCTAACATGATTTAAGAGGCAAAATGTAGTTCGGGTATTCTGTGTGTGCGCGTGAAGTCCAGGCGTCTTTTGTAACACGGCCATCGAATCTGCCAATGCGGACAAGGACATAGCAGCAATCAAGCAGCTCCATAAGCAGGCGACGCATGTCCAAGCACTAGGAAAGATATTCCAGGAGATTGACGCAGACAAGTGCCATGTGGTAAGCATAGAAGATCTCAGAGATGCAATTTCGAAGAAGAAGCTCTCCAGTTTCCTGGAATCGATGGGTATTTCGACTGAAGCCAGCGCCTTAGACTACTCGGCCAAACCTTGTTCCAGTGTGCCGTCCTCCTCGAATACTACTACTACTACTACTACTACTCCTGCTGCTGCTGCTGCTGATTATTTCGACTGAGGATGTGTGGACGTTATTTATGATTCCCGGGCTGGCGCTTGGAAGAGCTTTCAAGGGTCTCGACTTGCAACACCTAACAGTTGTCAGAGAAATGACCTTGATCTAGTTACAGTCATTAGAAGAGAACCCAGGATCATGGATGAAGACCAGCGCGGGCTGGTAAGCCTTGAGGAGTTTGTCTCCGGATGCATGCAGGGGCGAGGCCCCGCCAAAAACCTCCAGCTTGTCAAAATGAGTTATGAGAACAAAGTCACCAGATGCTTGGCTCAATGGCCAACTCAACTAGGCCAGACACAGTGCTTTTCTGTGCGTTGACCCCATTTGCACGGAGTGTTCAATGTGAAGTGAAACAAGGACAAGCCATCAAGAAGATTAGCGTTCAGCTTTCAGATCTGGCCGGGCTGCTGACAAATCCCTGTCCGCCACCTCTTTGCCCGCCAGCCGAGCAACTGGATCCTGAAGCAGCACCGGTCAAAAAGATTCCGCTGCAGCTAGGGCTTTCTTGAAAAGTGCTTTGATTTTGAATGGTTCATTTGAGATTGATGTTCGCTTGGCTCGCCTGCGCTCCGAGCAGCCAAGGTAGCATCCAGCATTTCCCGAAGGGACGTGCTGAAGCCTGTAGTATCATCAAGTTTGCTAGAAGAGGCGTAGGTCTTGTATGCAGTTTCGGGAAACTTCGAAGCTGCTTTAGGTTTTTACGGACTCGCCGCTGGCAGAGCCTCTGTGCTTGTCACCGTGTTCTTGGAAAGGGGTCTTTTGCTTCAATTGCTTCATGAAGCCGCAAAGTTTGCAGATGTCACCCTTCCGAGGTACGATGTTCCTGATTTGGCTCGGTGTCTTTGCCGCATCTCACTTTCTACCGTCTGAAGCCTTGCTGGTTTGGTGCAGCCTGCGGCCCACTTTGTAGGCACCCCTTTGGGAACTACGTGATTCAGCATGCTTTCGAACATGGCTCTGCCGAAACACGGAGGCACCAGCTTAGATCCTGTTGTTGGGGTCGAGGTTGTGCAAGAGCTCAATTCGTGTCATATCCACCAGTAGTGGCGCTCAAGCTAGCACCGTTCTGTTTGAGCAGGAAGCTCAGTGCGGCACTGGTTCCAGAGGCCAAGCGACTGGCACGGCACAAGGCTGCTGGTGTCCCAACTTGTGCGAATTGCCAGCTCTGACGACGAAGGGTCAACAAAGTGCGCAAGCTATCCGAAGGCCACTTGTGATAGAAGATGCGCTCAAGTAGTCTTAGAGCAGGTAGCCAGCCACGTGATCGAGTGTGCCCTCGTGCACAATGCCGCAGAGGACCAGACTGGATTCATTCCCTTAAAGTAGCCTTTGGAGCTTTGGACTCTTTCAAGAAGCAGTGGGGCCCTGCTTGAAGGGGCATTAAGTTGATCTATGGTAATGCATACGTCCTTTACCCTGGCCCAAGTCTCTCGCTTGCGTCGGCAGGATCGCCAGCTCTTAAAAGATGCTCTGGCCGAGAATTCAGAAGCATTGCAGAGCCTCTCTGCTCCTTGGATGACTTTTTCCATAACGGAAAGCAAGCCATTAGTATGTATGAGTCTAGCAGCAGATCCGGTGCATGGCGACCACGATGATCACTCACTCCACCATCTAAGGCCAGCAACTACGGCAGCTTTGTTGTGAAGGAGATGAAGAGGCGATGAGGTAACTTATGCACAAATGTAGCAGCTCCCAGAGAGCGAGCACATCGCCCTTGGGAGCTTGTGGAGCTCATGGCGCTTAGCGCCTTGGTCTGATGCAGAAATTCAGGCAGCTGCAGCTGCCCTCCAGTTCTGGAGGATACAGATAGTGGCACGTCTCAGAACTAGGTCCTGTAAAAGGCATGCCAGGAGTCCAATTTCCGATTAGGATAGTAAAGGGGCCTGCAATTTCGAGATGTTGCCATGTGCTCCAAGGTTTGCAAGCTTAGCCTTCAGCACAGGAGCAGTGACCCAAATAAGAGCAGGCAAACCGTGGCACGCGAAAGGCTGTGGCCATTCCAACTTCGTTGTTTGGTGATTGCCGGCCCTGGCAGTTCGAGCTGCATTTGAAAGGCCGAGCCGTCCCGTAGAAATTCGCCACTTGCGAATCAATCGCCGTTTACAGATTCTTATGTATCCATAGTCCACAGCACTGGCAGTCAATCAGCTTCAAGGAAGTATCTGCAAAGGAGGTGGCGTAGACCATCTGGGCTGCATGAGTCTCATGACCAGAAGGTCACGGACAGCTGGGGCCCTGCAGTGTCTTACCGGTCGCTAACCGCTAACACATCTGGCTTCTCGCTTACCACCTATAGCTGGGCAATCAGGAGCAAAGTGCTCTTGTGTTTTCCTGCCCTCCAAGCCTTTGCTTCAACACCATGTCATCTCAGAACAGCATCAGTGCAGCTGGTCTCCGAACCTGAGGAGATTCACTTGCATACTCGAAGACCTGCCAAAAAGAAATTCCAAGCTCTGACCAAAGCAGGGAGAGACGGAGCGACCAGCTCACTCAAATAGTTTTGGGCGGTTGGAGCATGCAGCGGGGCCCACTTGGGGCACTGCTGCCCGGGCCCACTGTCAACAGGCGAGACGGTGCACGACGCAACCCCTGCGCCATACCTGCTTGACATTGTCTGTGGGCCACAATCCCCTCGATTCAATCCAAGTTCGGTGTACAGATGCTGCGCGGGGTAGGCTCTCCAGGTCGCTCAACCGCTTTGTAATCACAGCCCCGAAGGCCATGGCACGACTATCTAGGTGTTCACCCGACCTGGATAGCTAGGAATTCGGCTGTACAGTTGCCTCCGCACTACGGACCTTGGGCCTTGGAGCTTCAGATGATGCCTCAGCTGATATGTCGGTATTGTTTAGGATGCTTGACATGGTGAACTGGGCAGAAGTTCTATGGCATGTGAGAGGCTGTCTGAGCTTCAGTTTTTCTGTGGAGGTGCCAAGAGCGGCCCTCCAACGAACCGCTAGCACGAATCCGGAGGGTTGACTGGATTGGATCCTTGCGATCTGCCTACCAATGCCCTGCCGACAGCGAGCGTGATAAGAATTTGGAGAATTCTGTTGTTTCGGGAGCAGACTGCACACGCACAATGGAATCATAGAAATGGATGTGCCGCGGTAGGTTTCTACTACGACTACCCGCCTCTCGCGGGCGCCGATCGCTTGCTGCGGTTTGTTGTCCTCGCGGCTCTGGGCATGGTTGGTGTCGTGGTAGCAGGTGAGTTGAACATGTTGCCGATAATGATCGCGAACGCATGTACCTCCTCCTAACATGAATCTCTCTCTCTCTCTCTCTCTCTCTGGGGGGCAGTCACTCTCTGCCCGGCCTACTTTTGAACTTTCCGCGCTCATTTTGTCCAGAAGTGCAACCTGCTTGGTTGTAACTAATTAGTAAGAGTAGTAAGTGTGTGTAAGTCTATTAAAAGCAAATGATTATTGCAAGCAAATGATGCCCCCCCTCCAGGCAGGTTTCCAGCTCTCACAATTTCTTTGAAAATGTACTCGATCCAACAATGTGTGTAAGTGAAAGCAGCACTGTTGCTGGTCCTGCGTGAGGTATCTTTATGGTGGGAGCCGCTCTCTTCATTGCCACTTATGAGGAGCCCAACTCTTACGAATGCGCTTCTCCAACGTGTCTCTCGCACCTACTTCACCTGCCTTGTCACGTTCCCAAGGTGCTGCCTTAGCTGGTTGACTTTTCTCACCATCATCGCCGAGGCCCGGCAAGGTCAGCTTAAAGGACTTGCCTGCTCTTCAAGTCTTCAAGCTCACTTCCTGACTTGTGGGCTCTGTGGGGGAGTACATCAGCTTAAGAACAAGTCACCGCATCCCCACCTCGAAGCCGTGGACACATGCTGGCCACTGACCTCCGGAACTCGAGATAGGGTCGACGCACAAGAAAATAACTCAAAGCCGTGGACACAAGAACTTGAGAGGTGAAGGTCGTAATCTCAGTCGTGACACTTGCCTGCACTTGCTTGGCATTTTTTGGTGTGGCTTGACGTTGAGACGCGACTACCCATTTTCCAGGGGTAGGAACAAAGGGGATGGAGAGACAGATAGGGCCATACTTTGGGTCCATTTGGTGGGAAGAGGCACTGTCGGTGGCCAGTTTGCAGCAGGGAGCGCGTGCATAAATTCGAAATCTTGAGGAAATATTGTCCGCAAGTGTGGATGAACTACAAGAGGAAGAGCACAGTGGCTTGACGGCAGTCCATTTCCAGGTTTCAGCACTCTGTTCTGATGTATTCTTTGGCTCAGCTGCGCAAAGGCAGGATGGACAATTTACAACGTCCTGCTCGACTTGAGCGGAGGCAGCCTCAATAAGCTTGTGGGTACGCCTGGCTCCTTGTGGCCTTGTGAGGCTTTCTAAGTGTGGCCCAGTGCAGCACTCAGAGTTGGACAGAGAGGTGAAAGACTTGATGCGATCACAACTGATGGGCCCAGGCTGCTGCTTGACGCTTCGCTGAGCGATGACTGGAGCAAGGTCTCTGGCGACCCAGCCAAGCTCATGTTTCTCGGTGGAACATTCCGGTGCGCGTTCACGATGCATGGGCTGCCTCGATACTGAGGCTGGGAAACGTGTCTGTGCGGCTCTGAGGGCTTGCTGTTCGCCTGCCCGAGCATTGTGGCCTGTGGCTGAGGTGTTCTTCGATTTGATCTTCATCGTGCAGTGATGGCCTCGTTTCCATGCCAAGCAGTTCGCAAGATGGATGCACGTGAATCCAGGCACTTTTGCCTTTACAGGGATGCTGCGGCCCAAGCTCAAGCCTAAGCCACTGTGGAAACCTGTTCCGGGGTGCTCGGGCTTAGGCCTCCCGTGCCCGGCTATGCGATGTGCACGGCTCCGGCGGTTCCAGTGCTTCAAGTTCCGAGGGCTTCTGACGCCAAAGCCGTATGAGCCGAGCTGCTAAAGATGCGATGCTCTGCAGTTGATGGCGTTTGCCCTGTTCTGGAGCAGCACAGCCTAGAAGGGATCCTTTAAAGTATCTTGTGTGCCAAGGGAGGACATGGTGGGCACGTCTACATGCTGGCCTTCCCAGCTGCCCGCAACCTATGCTTTGAAAGAGGGATGCTGCCTCACAATCACTTATGATTTCAGTTGACAGAGATGATGCGCAACATCCTGCTTTTAAAGTTCACCTCAGATTGCATTGTCAGGTCAATGGCTGCAACATGGGATGAGGACAGGAAAGCGTTTGAAGCCTGTTGCAGGGCGTCTGCTACACCTGGATGGTCAGCAGGACGCCTTGTTGATCTTCGGAATGGCGCTGGGCCACATGCCGTAGAGAGCCTGCTGTGGAGTCGTTACCAGCATGGCTTGCAGGGTATCAGTCGGTATTGGTACGCCTCGTTAGTGAAGCCGCACACTCCCTCGATGAGGTAAGGAGTTTGCCCTGAAGGGGGCTTCAGCCAGCCTGGGGTTTGGAGCTTAGAGCTCCAACCAACAACTTTTCGCTCCGTAGCGCGCCCCTCATATCTTTTATAGTAGGGTAGCTCTTTAGAGGCGGAACAAGATCGTGGACAAGCCACGAAAATCCGTTGGTTCCTGTCTTGAAGATCCCGACCGCTGGTTCCCTGTGAGATCTAGGCACACTGTTCGAGTGGAGGAGTAGAAACCTTAGACGAGCCTTGGTATGATGTGAGATGCAGAGCCACACCATAGATTGCACTAGCTACAACCCATGTTGCAAAAAGAACTCTCGGCTTCTAGCTCCCATGTGCAACTGAAGACACTTGTTCCATGGCATGTGCTGCTTTGTCTGCAGGGCCCGAAGCTCAAGATTGATTATCGAGGTACGTCATGAGGAATGCGAAACGACTACTGTTAGCAGCACCTGCGCTGCAAGATGAGCATGCGAGCAGACCTGCATGCATTACCCATTGCCCGGGCCAAACCCTGGAACTGTCCGTTTTGCTAGGTTTTACAAGCCTCTCACACTTATTTCTGGCACTCTGGCGGTTCCTATGCACCATTGTACACCACTTCAGCTGACTAGATATGTTCACACGTTGCTACATGCGGGCCAAAGTGGTAAGCTTGCAACGAAACTTGCACTCGAGGGTCCACAGCTTGCACCCAAAATTCAGCCAACCTGTTCTTACGTGAAGGGAGGCTTTGAAGAGGGAATCAAATGGCAGCTTCGTTGGTGTTAGCATCATTTTTACCGTTACTGGCGCCGCCAGTGCTTTCACAAACATTAGGAGTACTGCCCGTATTTCCACTATCGCCGCTGTTTCTCAAGTAGTGTATTTTTTGCTGTCGTTGCCGTTGGTGTGTGCCATTGTTGCTGCCATTGCTTTAGAGTGGTTAAGGGTCTTGTCATCTTCATTAACCGACGTAGTACTAGTATCGTTGCTACTGATATAATTGCCGTTCTTTGTCTTTTGATAAGTGAACTCACGGTTACTCTTCTTGCCGTTGTTTCTGTGCTTGTTAATGTTACGTGTAACCACCTTTTCTGTTTTCGTTGCCCTACCATCATGTCTATTCTTGCATTTTCTAGCCACATTCATTACTAGCACAAGTATGCTTGTCTTGTCTTGTCTTCAAGGGGGCTGGCTGCTCAATTGCTGTGAATGCAGTTTTGAAGCCTCCAGCTAAGACCAGAAAGGGGTTTGGTTCTGTTCCTAGTTAGCGAAGACATCAAAACGAAAACGAACCCAAATAAAGCAGAAAAGAGCTACACTCCCAACACTACTTTCAAATCGTAGACCACGAATCCTGAGCCCCACCTCAAGAATCCTAAGCTAACTGACACCCAAACTGTTGCAGCAGCAAGGCCAGGGGTCAATGTCCACCGTGTGGCGAGGGGCGGCCGCAACTTTGAGCGCGCAGTTGGTTGCTTTCGATTGCCAGGATGAGCAATGACAAAGGATGAACAAAGGATAGCCTCCTTACATCCGTGCAGTCGAATAAGTGTTAATGTGGCACGGCAGATCTTCCAAGGACAGGTACTTACTTGAAGTACGTAAGTAGAATGATGTTGCACAGTGGCTCGCCTTGGCTATGAGCTTGTTGAGACCTTGCGAGAAGGTACCTTTCAGGTGAAGATCCTCACCTTGGGTCAAAGCTTGGCGCAGCCCACGTTGGAAACTGAGATTCCAAGTGGCAGAAGGGTACGATCCGGACACAGCAGTATGAGACTATAGATGAACAGGAAAGGCACTGCAGAGTTCAGTGACGAAGCAAAGACAGAATGTTGCAAGTGTTTCAATTAGTGCTATAATCCTCTACGGGCTCCCACGCAGTAGTTTCCCGGTATATGCCCACATACCAATCCATGTTGCTCTGAGATACACGAAAGCATTGCAATAAGACCACCGACCAATAAGATTGAGGCCAGACGGTCATATGGCTTCTTTCATACCATTTAGGTTGTTTGCAATGAGCTTTTGAAGTTTCGGGATTTCATTGGCAACTATCATGAAAGTTTGAGTTGTCAGCCGGCTGCAGAGATGCTGAGAGAGTCTTTCTTTTGAAGGGATGAGGGCAAGGATCACATGGGTCTTGCCCCCCCCCCCCTCACCAGTCTCCGTCTCCGAGGTTCGTGGTGTGCAGTCGCAAGGAGTTGTTGCCGTCGTGAAGCACTTTGCCATGAACGAGCAGGACTGTTGTAAAATCAAACTGAAGTCCTGGACAGTGCTTCGGTCTGGCCCACGCTGAAAGTGAAGGGTGCAAACTCCCCAGTATCGCGGGCTGCGCTGATCCTGCAGTTCTTTAAGAAGGCTTGCTCATCAATCAATCTACTGAAGCGAGGAGACAAACAGGAACAAAGAGTCGCCGGGATCCAATCCCATGCCACTGTTGTGACGGGTGTTCTGGGCGTTCTTTATTTTCATGGCACGCACTAGCCTTTGGGAAGGCGGCCGTGATCTTTGCAACCTGCGATATGTCCAGAGATCAGCACATGCGAGGTCCAACGTGGACGAGAAGACGGCATGGGAGCTCTATTTCCCTCCTTTCCAGGTGCGACCGAGCCTGGCTACAAGTTGCAACGCATGACATCTGCAACCAGACATGCACGCTCCTGTAACCAGTCAGCAGGCCGCCGTGGATGCTGGAGCTGCAGCATTCATGCCGGGACCTCGGAACAGAGTCAAACTTGCCTGAATAGTCGAAAGGGTCTGAGCACTTATCTCAAACCTGTGTGGACGGCAGGCTGCAGAGGGGCTTGCCGGAGAATGGTCTAAGAGGAATGTCAGGGTGCAGTGGATGGCTACACAAATCAAAGCTCCTCTGTGTCAAGTAAAGACTATGCGGCGTCGACTTTCTAGAAAGGAAAGCCACTTTCTTTAAACGGCATAGGTTTGGCAGTTCAATTCTGGGCATGCTATGTTACTACGCGCTCAGCCCACCAAGGG